GGGGACTCACAAACCTGGAACCAGACTGAAAGACCCCCCTGCCTCCTATCAGCAGCCCCGTATGGGGCCATGTGGGACACGGGTCTCACATGTGGACCATCCCAGTTGGTTCCCAGGGTCAAAAGACTGATCCGCAGGGCCTGTGGCCGGCAGAGAGAGACACTTTCTTGGGCCAGCACAGCCATTCCCATCCGAGTGTTACCTGTTGGCAGGGAAAAGTCCACATCCCAGGCCTTTGCCCAGTGGTGAGCACTGGCTGGGGCTGACTCAGGATGTTTATGTTCAGTGAGGTAACCACTGAGCAGAAGGTAACTCCCAGTCATCTGCCTGCCTGTCTATTGGACCCATTCCCAGCATGTTTCTCTCTGTTCCTCCCAACCCTGTCCCCTCAGAGGCATCAGGGCTGGAACCCACCGGGGCTCAGGGGCTCAGGGACAGAAAACCTTGTAGCCTCTACCTCCTGCTTTCCAGGAGGGGTGGAAAGTTCAGAGAGGGCAGGGCACTCTCCCCAAGAAAAGCGGCCAGGCACTGCCACTGGGCAGGGGTTGGGGGAGGGGGATGGTACACTTCCTGCAGCCCTGGGTCAGGCAGGCCAGGTGCCAAGAGGCAGCAAAGAGGGCGGGAAGGGGAGCAGGAAGGGTGCCATGTCTAACAGGAGGGGTCTCTCTCCTGAGGGGGGCTGGGCTGGGACCAGGAGGACAGGCACCTCGACAGAGCAGGAGGGCAGGAGAGCCTGAGGGCAGGCTCTGGGTGAACAGGAAATAGCTGAGGAGGGACAGGTCTGGCACGCCTCGCAGGCCATGAATGCCATCTGAAACGGAACTCTGGGGGGCACTGGGGAGCCACAGGGAGTCTGGGGACTGGGGAGTTATGAGCTGGGGCTGGCCAGTAGGCAGTCTCAGGCTGTGTTTTCTAAGGGGGGGAGGGGAACGACGACTTTGCTTAGTGGGACCAGGAAGAGAACTGGGCACAAGATGCAGTGGGAGAGGTACCGGATGGCAGTGTCGCCCCAGTGTGTCCTCACCACCACAGGTGGCCCGGATCCAAAAAACAGCTGGTCAGCATGGTCTGGATCCTGGGAGGTGAGGCTCGGTGTGGTTGGTTTAGGCACCTTGGGAGGGCCCGTGGGGCTGTGAGCCCAGTGAGCACAGTCAGGAAGGGGCGGAGGGAGGCAACAGCCAGGCAGGCGGCCAGCCTGTCAGGCCCCTGGGGCACCACACACACCATGTGAACTCGAAGGCCTCTGGGTGGGGGGTAGAGCGAGCTGTGCCTCTGGAGCCTGCGGGGGTTCCTCAGACAGGCCCCCCACAGTATATGGGGGCCCTGACCAGAAACTCAATTTCCATTTGTCTCTTCTGCACTTAGAAGCATGTGCAAGGTCTGATAAATTAATCAGGGGGAAGGTGAAGACACCAGCTTAGCAATAATCCCAAACCTGTGAGACAAGATGGCTCTCAAGTCCCCTCTGCCCACAGCTGCCAGGCGTCCCGGAGCACAGAGCAAGAAAGGAGGCGTGGGGAGCAGTGGAGCTCATCGGAGGCCATTGGGCACTGTCACCAAGGTAGAGCCTTTGCCCACAGAACACAGGACTGTAGATCCACCCCGCTACCGTTCACGTGGCAGAGGGCTAGGAGGCAGGGTGGGGCTTGGGGCCTGTGCCTGGCTCTCTGGTGCCAGTCCTCAGTCTCGTGACTCCAAAGCCACTCTTGGCTGGGAGAGGGAGGTAACCTCCGGCCTGTGCCCCTCTATGACCCACTCCCTGGCCCCAAAACAACCCCACGTGGAGCAGCCTCTTGTTCTGTGCTCTATTGCCACCCCCTACCCCTAACCCCAGTCTCAGGAGCCCATAGGTTCAGAGCTAAAAGAGAGCTCTGGAGCCCACAGCCTGGGCCTGAATCCGGTTCTGCCATGTTCTGGCTGTGTGAACTTAGGCAAGTCTCCTAACCTCTCTGTGCCTCAAGGTACTCATCTGTAGGGTGAGGGTTCTAAGTCTACCCACCAGGGTGGTTGAGAGGACTCAGTGGTCTGTATAGTGCCTGGCATGCAGCAAGTGTTCAACTAGTTCCCTATTCGTGCAGTGATCCTCCACCCCGGCCATCAGAGGGGACTTAGGAGAAGTAACTCAAGCACGGCAATGCCCTGCTCCAGTCCCCTTCCCAAGGCTCCGCACTGCTTCCTAGGTCTGGTCCAGCTCCAGAGCCCTGGCCCACTTCTCAACCCCTGTTCCTCCCAGGGGACCTGGAGACCTTTGGGCCCTGCCCTTCACACCCTCAAGTCATCTCTGTCTAGACCTTATCCAATGTGCCTCGCTCCCAGGGCAGGGAAAGGCTGGAAAGCAGCCCAACCTCAGACCAGCAATTCCCCTCCCAGAGCCACAGCCTACCTATGGAACCAAACACAGACTCCTCCTGGCAAACACTGGCTTTGGGGTGTCCACTGCAGCACAAAGCGAGCTAGATGTCCATCGATTGGGATAGGTGGATAAGCCAAGGGCCCTGACTAGTGGCATGGGACGAAGTAGGTTACAATGGACTCTATTCATGAAAGTGCAGACCCGGGGGTGCCTGGGCTGGGGCAGGCTACAGAGCAGCTGTAAATGGGCAAGAGGGAACATACTGGGTGATGAAAATGTTCTTTAGCCAACAGGTGATGCTCGCCCAACTTGATAAACTTACTGAACCTCATTTAATTGTACACTTAAAATAGGTAAATCTTAGGACAGGCAAACTATACTTCAGTGAAGTTGTTTTTAAAAGGAGGATCAAGAGTGTGGAGCCATTCTGAAAAAATATGTCCAGGTACATAGGAAATAATCTCCCATGTAATTAACAGAGCTTGTCTGTAGGTAGAAGGTTCAAAGAAGATTTTGCCTTCTTTGTTGCTCCCCTGTGCTTGCTAATTATTCTAAAATGCAAAGAGAGTAGGTGTGTGTAATTGGGGAAAAGAGCAGAAAGTCTGAATAAAAAACAAGAAACCTGCTGCAGTGGGCAAACCTCATGTTTAACCCAGTGAGAGTGCTCCTGCCCACGCTGTGGCCAGCAGTGGTGGCTCTGGGCAGCTGCTCTGTGCTGTGGCACCATGAGAGCATGGTGGCTAGTGGGCAGGGCTGGAAGGCAGCAGGGGCAAACCTGCAGCCTTGAGAGCCTGGCTGGAGGGCTCTAGGCCTCTCTGAGCGGGTCTCCTTTTTCCCCGCCCACCCCTGCCAGAAGCTGGGGACCTCAGTCCTGAAACCGCCCATGAGTTTCTGCACTTCAGGGCCAGCAACCGGAAGTGGGTCATCAGTTTTTCCCCTTCCCTGAGCTCAGGCAAGCCAGACGTGGTTCTGGGACTGAATTCATCCCAGGGAGAGGCCCAGTTGTTACCTTTCTCAGACTCAGGCTGGTACTTAGTCTGACCTCCAATTGCCCCTACCCCCAATGGCTGCCCAATGGCTGACCCATTGGGCCCTGGGGGTTAGGGTTAAGAGAATGTTTCTATAAATGAGTAAATAAGAAAAGTCTGTGCCAGACCTGTACCTGGGTACTCCTGCTCTGATTTGAATGGGAGCATTTGCATTCAGAGGGGAAACTGAGGGTCAGGGTGTGAGAAGGCTTGTGCAGGGTATTAAAGTACATAGTGTCCAGATTCAAGTACTGACCCCAAAGCCCAGTTGTGTGCCACTTAGTCATGGCACCTCCCAGTTTCCACCCATGAGCCTAGTACTTGTGAAACTGTCAGTTGAGTCAAGTTCGCATTTCCCCAGGACTTGGGGTTTGGAATTCAGAATGAAGTGATCAGGGTTTCTCCTCTCTAGCCCTGCCCTAGCCTGGTCTCAGGGAAAGCAAGCTGATAAGTGCCCCCAGCCAGCAGCCAGCTAGGCTAACCTGTAAGGCTGAAGGAGATGTGTGTGTTCTGCCAATCCCAGGCAGAAGAGGCTCCATGGATACGTCCATCCAGGGGTGGGAGTCCTGAGCTCTTGGCCTCGGTTTCCCTATCAACCAAATGCAACTTAGCCAATGTTGCTGAACCTGTGCAGCAACCATGAGAGGCAACTTGCTGGGGCTTTGTAGCGGGAGCTCGTTAGTAGGCAACAACTTCCTAATGGGTACCTGCCGTGCGGTGGTCCCCAAATCCCTTCTCGGCATAACTAGTGTATGATGCTTTAAAAGATGTAAGTAATCCAGCGCAGGGCCCCTTGTCCTTCCCTGGCCGACGAGGTCCCGTGATCCTTTGGCGTACCTTCCCTACCTCACCTTCTGTGCCTTCCTCCAGGTCCTCAAACTCGGGGCCTTTGCCCTGGTTGTCCTGGTGGCTGGGAAAACATCCTTCTCAATTGGTCCCAGAGCTGACTCTCAGGTCTCAGCTCAAAAGTCTGCTAGGAGTGATCTTGACCCATCTCTGTGTCCAAAGTAGCCCCACCCCTGCTCCGCCCCCAAGTGGCAACTAAATATCAGTATTCGTTTTTGCCGGTTTTCTTAGGAACTTCTGTGCTCCCAAGAAAGGGAGGTAGCTCAGGTCTGTGACCCGACCACCCCCAGTCCGTCCTTGGCCCCACTATGTCTAAGATGGGGCCTACTATTCAACAGCTGCCAAAGAGCTGCGGTCTTCGACCGGGAGAGCCTGACCCTGCGGTGTGTGTCGGGAGGACGAGTAGCGCGTGTGCGCAAGCGCAAGAGCTTCAGCGCGGAGCTGAACTCTCCCGGCAGAGGGAATGACCGTAAGTTACCCCGCGCTGACGTCATGGGCGGAGCCGAGGCGGGGCCTCCGCAACGCCCAGGTCCCAAGCTCCGGCTGCAGCCGCCAGGGTCGGGGCGGGGGGGCGGGGGGGCGGGAATCGGGACGCTCTGTCTGCGCGGCGCAGCCCGAGGAGCCAGAGTGGGAGCAGAGGGGCTCCCCGCTGGCTGAACACTGTAGCGCGGAGTACAGAGACGCCGGGAAACCCCGCGCCCTGCCAGGGGAGACAAAGGCCGGGCGCCACCTGCGCGCCCCACTCGTGCGGAGCCCAGCTGGCCCTGACGCACCTTCGATGTCAGTCAGCAGCGCCGCGTCCAGCTCGCACGGCTCGGCCAGCCCATGCTCCAAGGCCGCCTCCGTAAAGGGCGGCTCGTTCATTTCGCCGTCACTACCTCCGGTTGGGCCTGGGGGGCCACGGACTTTCTCAACGAGCTCTGCGTCCGCCAGCCCTGGCCCGCTGCCGCCGCCGTTCCCCGCGTTCGCAGCCTGCCCTAGCCTCGGTGGCGGCCCGGTGCCCGCGAAAAGTTCCTCAGAAACTGGGTTCCTCAGGGGAGGCTTGCTAGGGCAGGCAGGGAGGGCAGGACGGGGGCGGGCTGGAGCGCATAGGCCCCGCCCCTGGCCGGACGGCCCCGCCCCACCTGGGGAGAGCGCCATCTGGCCCCTGGGCGCCGGGCAAACCGACCCCCGACGGCGAACCCTGCGGTCATTTATTTTACCTAGTCTCCGGCCCGCTGCTGCGGGAGCTCGGGCAGGCCATGGTCTCTCTCTGGGCCTCAGTTTCTCCAGCACCAAGCAAAGGGGCTGAATGGAAGCGGGAGGGCTGGGCCCGTCCCAGAGGTCTTTGGACTTGCGGGGAGGTCAGAGGTGTCCCGACAAACTTCGCTTTCTAGATTTGGCTCTTTAGAGCAAGAAAGACCCATCCAATGTATAGCTGCAACAACTGCTGTGTGGCCTCAGGCCAGTTACATCGCCACTCTGAGCTTTAGTTGCTGGAACAGGACCCTGAGGATGCCTGTCTCCAGGTTGGAGTGGTCAATCCCCTGAGCCACACCAGCCAGGACTAATCTTTTATATATTGATTTTAGAGCAAGAGGAAGGTGGGGGAGAGAGGGAGAAAGAAAAACACTGACTTACTGTTCCACCCACTTATGTATTCACTTATTGTATGTGCCCAGAGCAGGGATTGAACTCAAAACCTTGGCCCATCAGGATAACACTCCAGCCAACTAAGCTACATGGCTAGGGCAGTTCTCGTTTATTTCAATCAACCTCTTTGGAATCCCACCCCTGCCATTTAGCTCTGTCCCCAACCCACAGGGCCCTGGGTTCATTCTCCAGGCCTGTCCCCAGCCAAGCTGCCTCCTCTGACTCAGCCCCACCTTCATGATGCAGGGCAACCCAGCTCAGGTCTAAAACACAGTCCCTCTTTCTTGTGGCCTCCATCCCGACTGGTCCCAGAGATAAGCACCAAGTCTGGAGCAGGTATCCCTGAGGCCCAACCCTGCTGCTGTCCCTGAGTAGCTGTTTAGTCAAACTAACCTTGGCAGTTTGATCCTTGGAACTCTCTTGTGTCTTCCTGTCCTGGGTAATGAAGTGAGCCCACCTTCAAGGGCTGGACTGGGCCAGGTGGCCCCCAGGCCCATTGGTTGTCCCCACAGCTGGATATGGGAGGAAAGTTGTGAGCTAAAAAACTGTTGATTTCATTCCCAGCCATGGCACGTGCCTGGGTTTCAGGCTGGGTCCCTGCCTGGGGGAGTGCAAGAGGCAACCGATTGATGCTTCTCTTGCACATCAGTATTTCTCTCTCTCTTTCCTCCTCCCTTCCTCTCTCTAAAATCAATCAATCAATTTTTTTAAAAAAGAGAAGTCAGCCAGAAGTAACATTCAGGTATCTGAAAATGAAAAGACAGTGAGCTTCCCACCCTTGCAGGTGTGCAAGCAGAGAAAGGCAGGTGTGCAAGAGCTTCCCCTTGGAGAAGGGCAGCTAAGGACACTGTCAGAGGTCTAGACCCCAGTCCCTCTTTGCCCCTGGCCGTGGTGAGTCATGCCACCCCAAATACTACCTTGCTCAGTTTCCAGATTTATTCTGTCTGGCCACACCCTCCACCGGAGTAAAATTAGTGGCATACTTTAGAAGAGGGGTGCAATACCCTGGGCGAAGAGAAGCCTTGAAAGCCCAAGGCCCTAAGGCTCATCCTGGACATCCCACTCTTTGTTCCCCTCCTGGAAGTGGCTGCTGTGGAAAATTACCCAGAACAGAGGTGACCAGAAGTCACAGGGATTCCACACCTCCCTACTAAAGTGGCCCTGCTTAGGAATCCCACCCAGGGCCTGGCCCCTCAGGAGACCTTGGCAGTCTGGTGACTTCCCTGGAAAATTCTAACAGCCCTTACCAGAGAGGAGTGGGGAGTAGTGTGGGGAGAGAGGGGCTGAGGAGTGAGTCCAAAGAATACTTTCTTCACAGCCAGGAAGCAAGTCTGCTTTTTCACCCACTTGCTGTGTAGTCGGGAGCCACTTACTTCACCTTTTTGAGTCTCCACTAAAATGGGAATAACTCTTCCTACAATTACTCTGTGGAGGCATGCAGGGCATGTTGCAGTCACCGCCCTTTGAATGAGTTTACCACACATGTAAAGAGCACGGCTCAATATGCAAGCCTAACTGCAGGAGTTAGGGGAAAGGGTAATGTGAGGTCAGCAGGAGACCTAAATCCCAGACTAGAAACACCCATTGAAACTGAGGCCTGGCAGAAGCCTCTTTACATGTGGCATAGGTAGGAGATGGGCAAGGGAGTGTTAAATCTTTGCCACCAAAGATACGAAACTTTGCTCTGCAGCCTGGGATTCCCAGGTGATCAGTCCCCAAGGTGATGGTGGGAAGGGTCGGGCTGGGAGCCGTTCATCAGGGGAACCTGCTTCTCTTTGAGGTGGCTCCTTCCCCTCAAAGATTCTGAGACCCCCACACAAGCTCTTTAGACCTCTCTTGGCTGGGAAAGCTGAACTCACCCAAGTAACAGGTGTCAGGGCGCTGGGCAGCACAAGCTGTAGTCGTGTACCAGTCTGTCCTGGTGTGCCTGGGAGGGATGGGACCCGGCCCGGCTGACAGTGATGCTGCTGGCTGTGCCTGCACTAGGCACAGTCACTGGATACTTTCTCATATTAGCTCATTCAGTCCTCCCAACAGTTGTAAAAGGACTGGGCTGTTGTCATTCCCATTTTACAGATGAGGAAACCGAGGCAGGGGGAGGAGAAATGACTTGTCCAGGGAGCTGGGCTGGCTTGCCACTCAGCAGTCTGGGGCAGGGCAGCTGCTGGAGACCCAGGGGGAGTTGGGGCACAGAGCCAGACAAGCCTTGCCCCAAAGGCCCTGGCATAGCCAGTAGGCTCCCTGCCTGGAGTGGGGTGACGTGGCATCATTGAGAAACTCCTGGGATCTAGGCCCTGGGTCACATGCCTTCTGCCTCTTCGACCTGGGTGGTGGGAAGGGCCCATGGCACTGGCTGGCGGGGTCTGGAGCCAGCTGGGCCTGCTTTCTCAGCACGGCCTCCGGACCCAACACCTGGTTGGGATTGCTGCCAGGTGTGTCCTGAACACCCAGGCAGGGCCGTCCCAGGTGGCCCCACCCTCCACTCCAAGGCCCCCACCTTTGGGAATGTGGTCAAAAAGCCGGGCTTCTCCCTGCCTGACTTTGGTTTTGTCAACTGTGAGATTGGGGGGGGCGTGCATCTGCCCCCTTCCTTCCCCAGGTGTTTCTGAGCGTCTTAGAGATGAGAAGCATCTTCCGTGGGTTCCGAGCCATTCGGGGCAGGTGTCTAGCACCGGCAGAGGCTCTGCAAGGTCCCTTGTGCTGAGCCCTGCCCACTATGGGTGGAGCTGGGCCTAGTCACCCTGGGCATGGCCTAGGAGGCCATTAAAACTCCTCTCCACCCCTGGAGGCCCTGCCACCTTCCACTTATACTTCACTTCCGCAGTAGCTAAGCCAAAGCACAGGGACACCTGGAGCCCTGGCTGGGTTCTCCTGTGCTCCCTTTTCCATCTGGATGCAGTGGAATCAGGTGGCTGTTCACATGGATGATTCTGCATTTTCGTTCCATATTGGCCTCTGCTGTGCAGTGGGCAAGTTATTTCTACTTCCAATCCTTTCCAGGTCACCTCCAGGGTTATCATGAGCCACTCACTACACCCTCCACACAAGAGTTGGTTGAAAACCAAAGCTGCCTCCACAGTGTGGAGTGAGGTTCACAGACATGACAAGTGAAGGGAGACATCTGTCCCCTAGGGGGCCAACTGGCTACTTTCGGAGAGGCCAAGTGTAGACTGAGGGGGTCCCCCAGAATGGGCTCGGTCGAGTTGGTGGCAGGGAAAGTGAATGGGGACCCCAGGCGTCATGGGCTAAATCCAGCTATACATGGGTCCTGATCTGGAGGTAACTGTCCAGTGTAGACTTCACCAGTGACACTGGACTCCGTAATCGGACGCCCTCTCAGCCAGCCAGGGCTGTGAGCTCTCCTGCAGCCCAGGCCTCACTTCCCTTGTTACAAGTGAGTGTAGGCAGTGGATTTACCACCTGCGGTTTGCTTTGACAGGTCAGGGAAGGGAAACCGGCAAAGGGCAGTGACTTACTTGCTCAGGGACCTACAGTGTAGCCTATAGCCCTGGGTAGGGTGCTCTCAGAGTGTTGCGTATGGGGGGTGGAGAGGAAACAGCTCCAGACGGAGGAGTCCACTTTGTCCCCCAAAACATGTAGCTGATTCCCTAGTGCTGAGAGACTGTGCTCTCTGGAGCCTGGGCTTGGAGGTCCAGGCTGGGGCTCTTGGGGGGCCGGCCATCCAGCAAGAATGGGCAGGGGGGTCCTCTGAAATAAGCTGGAATTTCTGGATTACTCACGCCTATTGAAGGCCTCTGACCCTGCCTGCCCCACCCCCTGGGGACTCAAAAGAGACCCTTTCCTTTACAAAAGAGGCCGGTTAGAAAAGGCTCCTCAGTGCTTCCAGGGGGCAGCAGGCAGGGTCCACGCTGCCCCTCCTGGGTCTCTGGGAAGAGCCCAGAGCTCCACGAGCAGGGCAGAGCAGGTGGCCCGGAGGGAGCATGGGGGTGAGGGCAGAGTGCCCTGGGTGTACACTGGCCTCGGATTGTTTGTGCCTCCCCAGGGTTTCTCCTGCCTCTACCAAAGTCTGGTTTGGGGGTGGGAGGGTGACTCTGGGGCTCCTGCTAAAACTCCTGGGAGAGGCTGGAGCTGCGGGTACCTCAGGCAGCCACATGGAACAGCAAAGCCAGAGAGGAGCCAGTTTCTGATCAGGCCCCTGAGCACCTGCGTCCAGCTGTCCCTGACACTGAACCACCTGAATTTCTCAGTTCCGCATGCCAGTGAATTCCTCTTGATGGTGAAATCAAACCTGTTTGTGCCACAACCAAAAAAGTTCCAATATGCCTTATATAAATGAGAAGTCGGGGTTCCAAACTATCATCATCTGGGACAAGAGAGGAGCCGACACTGTTTAACTGGGCACCCCCAGTACTTCAGCAGGGCTGAGGGCACAGCAGGGACTCAGGATGCACGCCCTCCATTCTATTCACAGGGGCTGGGGCTGGCCAGTCTCCATGCTTCAGAGAGGGTCTGTGTCTCCCACTGACTGGCTGGAATTCAGGGGGTGGGGAGTGCTCTGCAGCTCCCTGGAGCCCAGGCAGGTGCCTGGCTGAAAGAAGCTCAGTGCTGTCACTTCTGGCCTGGGCTGTCCCAGTGTGACCCTCTAACTCCGTCCCCTCTGCTTCCTACCATCAGGCAGGACAGCCCCTCTTCAGCTACCCACCCCTGGGGAACAGGGGTTCAGAGCAGGTGGGCAGTCTCACTACTGGCCACGGAGATGGTGCCCTTCATGCCCACTCCTCCACATGACCCTAGGCAAGTGTACAGCTCTTTTCAGACCTCACTTCTTTACCTGTGCATGAGAGGCTGGGCAGATGCCCCTACAACGATCCCAGGTTTACCTTTGTACTTAATGAATCTACCCCACTTGAGGTCCATACTCCAACTCAGGGGGGTAAAGAGATTAAAGGAGTAGGCAACTCAAGGCTTCCACAGCCCCTAACCCCGCAGGGCGTGTGGAGCTGGCTTTCGATGGACATCGCCTGGCAGCAGTGCCCAGGGTGACTGGTTCACAGGAGGGGTCTTAAAGGGGAGAGAGGGTAGAGTAGGTGGGGACAGTGGGAGTGACTGTTCCAGAGTAGGGGCTTGGGATGATGAAAATGCTCTGAAGTCACTGTGCACAATTCTGCAGGCACTGGAAAGTACTTTAGACTAGTGAACTATATGCCATGTGAATTACATCTCAGTAAAGCTGTTACTGAAGGGGGCACTTGGAGTGGCAGCTGTTAGATCGAGCACCTAACACAAGTTCTGTAGAAAATTCAAAGGCCCAGTTAAGTTCAGGAAGCCCAGCTGTGGTGGCATCTCAGGCCTGCTTGCTCAAGGTGTCAGATGCCCCAGACGTGGAGTGCCCCCCCACACACCGGGACTGGGATAAGACACAGGGTCAAGGCCCCGGTCTGGAGCTCTCAAGCAGCTGTGCTGCCTTTACGCCTGCTGCAACCAGTGCTCCCAAAGTGGGCTCTGTCCCAGGCATGGGGACTTTCCTCCAGCCCAGCGCCCCTAGCAGCTGGGCCTTGGGGGTGGGGGGGTCTGCAGTGGGCTTCCCAGACCGCCCTCCTATCAGGGACTTGCGGCAGCTCCTGCTGAAAGACGGGTCGTCAGGTCTGGTCAGCCCCCGGACAATCACAGCCCACTCAAGAGATCACAGAGGAACGAGCTGTTTGTTTGTTTATTGTGGAATACTTTACATGCAAGAACCCAAACTCGAAAGACACTGTCTGGAAGGAGAGCCAGTGGGTGGGCGAGCACTCTGGTGTTGCACTGAACCTCCAGGGCACTGACCTGCCCTCCAGAGCTGGCTCTGCCTGCAGAAACACACAATAGCGATGAAACACCAGACCTCGGGGATGAGTGGACAACAGACTCAACACATTCCTTTCCTCAACAGTCCCCAACAACCCTGAGAACCCTCACAAACGAACTGCAGACTTTAGGACATAAACATCTATCCTCCTTTCTCCAGGAGAGGCTGGAGGTTTTCCAGGAAAGAAGCAGTGTGACCCTGGGGCTGACAGTTGTTGGGGTCGGTGGGTGGTGCTACAGGGGAAGACTGGTTGGGCCCCGCAGGCAGGCTAGGCACTGGGAGAGGAGGGTACCACGGGGGCATTCTCTGGGTGTACACGCCCTTAGTCATGGGTGGTGAAGCTGGCTGTTCCCCCTGCGGGTGGACAGGGGAGAGGAATCCTGGTCCTCACAGGAGACAGACAGCAGGCTGCATGAGGCCAGACTGCCGGCCCAGTGCTCTTCCAGGGCGCCTTTCCCTGGCTGGCGCTCAGCCCCCTGGAGCCTCCCCACTTCACATCGGGCTGGACTGAGTTAGCACTGTCCGGAGAGGCGAACTGGGGGAGTGGAGGCAGGAAGCGGAGCAAGAGTGGGGACAACGGGTAGCATCTGCCCAAGTGATCTCGGAGGAGTCAGTGTCTGCAGCTCTCTGGTGGCCACAAGAGACCTTGCTGCCACTCTTCCAGTTGAGGGGCCAAGAGACAGCACAGGTCCCACACCTCCTAGAAACTCTTGCTCTGGACCCCGGTGAGGAAGGGAAGGGCTGTGAGCCAGGGCAGGCAAGATGACCAGTCCCTTCCCCTCCCCAGCTCAGGCCAGCAACAAGCCCTCTTAGCTCTGAACTCTGTCCCATGCATGCTGATGAGACCTGGCATCCCTGCTGGGTGCCTGGGATCCCGGGCAGGGACACTCTGGCCAAAGGCCCACCAGTGCCCTGGGTCAGACCGCACCTCATGCCGTCCCTTTGGTCTACTGTCAGAAAGGCTGGCGGGGAAAATGGTTAGGTTCCATGTCTCAGCACACAGTGAACACACAAAAGGTTAAACATGTCCCCAACAGAATATTTTGACAAAATAAATACTTTAACCTGTAATCAGGTATAATTAGTGCTTATAAGGAATTGCAGAAATAATTTAGTGTCATTAAGTACACACTTTATCTGTGATTTCTAACACTTACTGGAGAGGCTGGTAGCTTGGGAGGGTTCCACTCTCCTAGAGGGCTCTGCTCCCAGATGGAAGATGGAGGGGACTCAGTCCAGGAAGCCTATGGCCTCAGGACAAAAAGGGCTGGCACCTGGGCCTATCTGTGCTTCCTGTGCAGGCCTAGGCATGCATCACGTGCTTCAGTGTCCGGGCAGACTGCCTCTGGAGATGATGTGTGAGCCGGAGGGGTGGCTCCAGGCCCGGAAGGCAGGTGACACTACCGTGTATGGTGCAATGCCTTCTTGCCAGCAGGCACAAGTCCACCAGCCCCTGCTACCCAGCTGGAGCTGGGGCAGCTCTGGACCGTGGGTATGCATTAGGTGCAGCTGTGCTGCGGTCCCCCAAAGCAGAAGCAAGCTTCAGCTTCACTTGGTGCCAGGAGCCTACTCTCCCCTCAGACCCTGGTCTGTAGAGACTTCCTCTCCTACAAGAGGCGAAGGCTGGCTCTTCCGTCACAGGACACTGGGCGGCTGCCGTGGGGCCGTGGCTCCCGCAGGACTGCCCACCTGATGCCTGGCGTCCCACAAGCACAGGCTGGCACACTGGCAAAGGTGAGCCCTGGCCATCAGCAAGGAAGGGCCAGGGATGCTCCCTGGGGTTGCTGGGTATGACTGCAACCACAGCCACCTTCTCTGAAGCTCAGGTCAAGCCTTCGGACTTCAGACATGTTAATGTCCAGATTGGCCTACGGGCCTCTGCCCTCAGGGAATGTGAGGAGAGGTGTGGGCTAGCCAGGGCCAGAGTGAGGGAGAGTGGAGGTCTGGCAGAGCCCCCAGCTGCTCTCTGGGTGTCCTCTGAGGACCTGCGGTGTGACGTCTCTAGCTGATCCTGCCAGATGGACCCCTAGCCTGATCCCAAAGCCTCCTTTCTGGAGGAAGCTGCCGTGGTGCTAGGCAGCACTCACCTGTGTCAGCCCAGCTCCTCCTCCCGCATGGCCGCCAGTGGGAAAGGCTGACCGCATGGTGGGGTGGGAGCATGTGAGGCCTGACACCTGGGCAGTGCAGGCCAGAGCACTGGCCTGGGTCCCAGAGACCACGGGATGGTGTGGAGCTGCTGTGCAGGCTGTTTTTGGGCGGCGGCAGCAGCAGCAGCAGCAATAGCACAGGCAGGGGTCAGGCTGAAGCTGGCTTGGACTGAGCCTGGAGCACCTCGCCCACAGCCAGAGACACGGCAGCCAGGACTCAGGATGGAAGCAGGTGTCATGGGGCCCTGGCAACTCCAAGCTATGCTGATTGGCTTGGAGAGAGAATACAAATCTGTGGCCTTGGGGGAGGGACCTGGGGTGGGAGGGAGTGAGGATGTCACTCCAAAGCAGAACAGCCTGTGGAAAAGGCCCAGGCCCAAGCCAAGGAGGAGAGAGACCTTAGTTTTGCTTTGGATCCAAGCATGGCACAAAGCTGTCTGTGGCTGGGCCCTGCAGGCAGGGGCTCAGAGGCTGCCATGGACCAGGCTGAAGGACCGCACAGAATGCTCACAAACCCACAGAGCAAGGCCTCCCAGGCAGCCCTCCACAGACGGCGGCAGAGGGACGGAGCGTGTAGTGTGGGCAGTTTGGTTTTCGGTAGTGTTTGCTAATTGGCAGACCTGCCTCCCCTGATGCCAGCAGTATGTGGGGCCAGAGGGGCTGCTGGTCTCAGGCTCTGACGCTGAGTCCCAAAGAGAGGTTCAAGAGGAGAGCTGCCAGAGGCACCCCACAGAGCCTTCTAAAGTGCAAAGCATGCCACATGCCACCAGGTGACACCTGCCCAGAAGCAGTAGCCCAGGAGGGAGATGGAGCCTGCAGGGGCAGACAAGCCCTTTCTGAAACAGAGGAGCAGGGAGGGCAGGCCAGCCTGAGACCTACTGAGCCAGGGAAGGGGCAGGGGCATATGGAGGAAGGGGCCAGGGTCTGACCCCCTTCTCTGTGGGCAGGTGACCTTGCCCGAGGCTGGGCCCTGCTGCCTGATCCTCCTGGGAGGGACTATGAGCAGAGAGAGACTCTGGATGGGAAGCCCCCCCCCCCCGCCCCCCAGTCACAGCGATACTGTCCCACCACCTACCACCCAGAGAAAAGGTGGCTAGAGCTGTCCTGACCAGTGGGAGGCCTGCAAGCAAATACATCGGCATTTCCATGGAGACATCAACACAGGGCCACAGGGCCTTGTGGGGGCTGAGGACAGGAAGAAGGGCCAGTGGCTGGAGACAAGAGGGACCTGCCATCTGAGGAGCCACGCCACAGACCAGCTCACAGGGTGAAGAGGGCGTCCTCTGATCGCTCAGACTTCTTTCGGCCGGGAGTGTTGGAGGCTGGGGCTGGGGCCTCCACAGGGGGTGAGGGGAGGTTGGGAACCATTTCAGCAGCTTTGGCTCTTTCTTCAAGGAATTTATCAAACTCTGCAATACAAAACCAAGGCAGGAGCCAGGATTGGTGGAGGGTCAGGCCCACATGGAGGCTCAAACAGCCTCCTCCTACCTGCTCCCCACAGAGTGCCACTCACTGGTGCCCACAGGTCACCCCAGCACGAGTGCCTCTGGGCATGCCGCGGCTTGGGGCCTGGCCTGGTTCTTGGACTCTGCCTCCAGATGAGCAGGGAACTAACTCCCAGCTGTGAGCGGCTGTGGGGGACAAGGACAGTTACATTCCTGTCCCCTGTAACTGGGAGCTTTTCCATTGTGCTGGTTAGCACTGGAAGCAGGGCAGGGAGAGCTGGAGGGGTGGCCCAACTTAACCTTGGCAGGGAACACCCCCCCCCCCACCAGCTGGAAAGCAGGATCCTGTGCCTGCAGGGGGCCTGGCCAGGTGTTCGGACTGAGTGAGGAGCCCACGCAGAGTGAGTGAAGGCCGGTGGGCCGAGGGGAGGTACAAGGCGCAATGGAAGAAGGAGGTGAGAGAGGTGGCGTGGTGCAGGGACCCTGATGGGGGCCTCCCCGCATGGCCCATATAGCTGGCTCCTTGGAAGGAGGCCACAGACTCCAGGCCTGGGGAGGTCCCCAGGTGCCCTCTGGACTGCATATCACAGGTCTGGCTTCGGCCAGATTGAGCATTGAGGGGTGGAGCAAACTGGTTAGGAGCACAGGTTTTGGGGTCATGCGGACACAGGATGGTAATACATACCTACTATTCACTAGCTCTGTGACACTTCCCTCACCAGCATGAGGCTAGGATGGGACAGTCAAAAAGCTCCTGCCCAAGGGGCCCAGCTTAGGCCAGGTACCAGACGGCACCCAGCAGTAGGAGTGCCAGCCCCTGTGCACCCCAGAGCCTGGGAGAGAGCAGCCAGAGGGTGGGGTGCTGGGAAGCCATGGCCAGCTGCCATACCTTCACTGGTGACGCCCTCTTCCAGGTCATCGCCCTTCTGTGGGAGGAGCAGAGAGAGCCCATCAGGACCCCACCAGCCCGCCCCTTGCCCCCACAGTCTGGCTCCCCGTCCCAAGTTCTGTAATAGTCAGGTACTATTTATCTTATTGGAGAGATACAAGCTCTGTGTTTTAGAAAGCAAAAGCAAAAACCACTTAAGAAGGTTCTAGGTTTTGATCCTCCAGAAGGGCCCAAAAGAAAAATCCAGAGAAAGGTGCAAGTCGGCTATTGGGGCTCGGCTGCGGAGCAGGACCATGGGAGACCTGTGCCTACTTATCTTACCCAGGGAGGCCACGAGGCATGCTCAGGCCCCCCCTGGAGCTCCAGCACTCAGCACTGCTTTGCAGCCAGCTGCAGGCTCCCAGGAAGTCACTGTCCATGCCAATAGCTGGGGAATACAGAAAGCTTGGAAGGGCCAGAGCCATGAAGCCACGGCACAGGGCCTGACACCAGGCAGCGCCTGGCTGCAGAGCACTGTCTGGCTGGGAGCCATGTCCCGTGGCTGCCTAGGAGCTGCGCCAACTTTGTCCTGTGGCCCAGATTCTATCGCCTGCTACTATTCCTGAGGAGCCATGGAGGCTCTGTCTCCTCTTAACAACGAGAAGGGGTCAGACTTGGTTTTGGTGGGAGAACGCAGTAGCCACTGAGAACCCACTGCACTGCCAGTGACAAGAAGAGAGCCGGACGAGATGCGGACGAGGCCTCGGGCTGAGCAGGTGAGCAGGAGACCAGGCTTCCTTCCTTGCTCTGCGGCCGGCCTGCTCCACAATCCTCCCAGGCACGTCTCTCCCCATTTCTGGACCTTGGGGCACCTATCCCTTGGGGAATGAGGGCCTCGGCCCCTCCTACTTTGTTGTGAGGGGAGCTGTCTCTTTTCCAGGCACTCCCTTTGTAAAGGCACAATGGGGCACTTTCTTCCTCCCATGACATGGCACCTGGGTGGCCAGTAGTGTTGCTGGGAAACCTGACCCTCCAGGGAGGTGGCCCCAAGCAGTGGGAAGCCCTATCTCAGGTCTGCTCCCTTTGTGTGTGGGGGCCACAGGCAGCTCACAGCCAGCTAGGCCAGACCTGTGATTCGAGGACTTCCAGACTCTGAAGAGGCAGCTAGGAGCACTCACCCACAGCGCGGGTGGCTAAGAGTAAAAGTGCTCTGCAAGGAGTGATGCCAGCCGTCCTCAGGGCCAGCTTGCACGAACAGACACACACATCCTCAACCCCTGCCCCACTCTGGGCACAAAGACAACAGTCTCCAGGGCAGGAGTTCTCTTAAATTCGAGATAGAAGATACTGGGGGAGGGAGACAACAGTGGATTTAACATCCCGTTCCTCTTGTGTGTATTGAAAGAAATGAAAAGCAAAAAACAAACTCCTCCTCAAAAACAGGCCCTCTGCAAAAAACAAAACCAAAAGAAAACAAAAAACAAAAGAACCCAAGCACACACACACCTGAAACTGAAAAGTGACTGGGGAAACATAGCATGTATTTTGGAGCTAGCTGGAACTAGCTGCACCCCAGCTCCGCCTCGCCACCAGCAGGCTAAGGTCCTGGGCTCACAGGTCCGCCACAGAGCTGGCCTCCACTGGCCACGGCGGGGAGGGGGGGGGGGGGGGGGGAAGGCCAGCTGCAAGGCTCCACTGCTCAGGGGACTGCTGGAGCCACACCTGCCCCTGCCTCCCTCCTCCACCAGCCCCTGGGGAAGCAGTCCCTTGGGGCTGTCCCCAGGCCTGTCCTTGCCACACCCCACTACTTGAAAGAGAAAAGTTGAGTCTCACCAGGTCCGTCCTGAGCCACACCTCAATGTCGTCCATGACAGAGGGCTGCGAAACAGGGATCTATGAAGGTGGCAAGCGGTGGGCCAGGCAGCCGCACAGCCAGGCGAGGGAAGACAGAACACCAGACAGAGTAAATCATCAAAAGCAACCCCCAAATGAAACCAAAACATACACAGAGCAAAAACAAAAATAAAAACAAAAACTACATTGGCACAGCGGGCATGGGCAACACAAGGCAGCCACGTGAAATGACAGGGGAGGAAGCAATGAGGAGGCTGGTTCGGGGAAGCAGGACTAGCCAGTGGGGGGGGGGGGGCAGCGCACGTTCTTGAAATGGAGAACTTTCTGTGGCACACCAGGCTGCAAAGCCTCGTCAGTCTAGGCTGTCTAATCTCGTCAGTGTGCCACTCCTGCAAGCTGATTTCGAACTCACTGGTGATGGCAGTTGCAGGAGTGCTATCTGGTTGCTGTTGACCGAGTCCCTGGGGGCAGGGTGACTCAGGAGCCACCAGGGGCCCCCTAGGCCCCTAGGGAGGCGCTGAGCGACAGTCTGCCCAGAGCCAGGGTTCGGGTGGTCAGGTGGCTTCGCATCCAGCCCCAGGAGCCCACTGGAGTTCTGTGTGCTCACTGAGAGTATTTCGGAATTTGTCCTGGTGCATCTCGGAGTAAGAGAGAGGCACCGGGGTCTGGGTGTGGCCTACACAAGGCAGCACATTTCACCATCGACAGAAACAAGAACAGAGACTTCAGTGACTAAGGGAGGGACTGCGGGGCTTTGGCCATCTTCCTGCCTCTTCAAGTGACTAAGGAGGTCTGAGTGCAATGGCTTCCTTAACCTTGCCCCTCCTTTGGGGCTTTCGGCAGTCAAAATGAAGTTCAGCCACGGTCTGGGCAGTGGTGGTCAGGGCAGACCCCAGCAAACAGGTGTGCCTCATTGGTGCCTGAGCACGGTCCACTCGGGGATACCAGCCCAGTGCCTTGGAGGCAATGTTCTAAAAATACATTTGGCTAGAATATTTCAGTTGCTGTCAGCTATAATGTGATGAGAAGTAAGGGTAACCTTTAACCCCCTGGAAGTCACGTTAATGAAATGGAGTTCCTCAGCCTAGATGAATAAGCTGACTGACCTTACTTGAAGTGACCTGCTTTTCCAACTAGCCTGGGTTCGAGAAGTATTTCCAAGAGGCTCACTCACAAGCCCACAATGTCACAATCTGGGTAAGAATGAAATAAGCAGTAAGAGGACTATCTCCGAGTTTGCCAGATCTAAAAAGTAACATGATCTCAACAAAGGAGAACAAAGACTTCTTACCACCAGCCCTGCCCTACTGTGACGGGCTACTCCTTGAGGTCGACACCTGCCGCTGACAGGTCTGGGTGGCAGGGGATGAAGGAATTTCCCCCACGCACACTGGACAGGTGCCTGAGATTTGGCCGGAGCCTCACACACCCACTCACTGAAGCTGAAGACCCGTCCCCCTGGAGAACTGCAGCAGCCTTCTGCGCTCAGGCCTAGCTGTAGGCCCGGCATGGGCAGTCCTCACACACCTTCCTAACAGTTCAAGGTTCCCTGCTTTTGTTTTATTTCTTTGACTTACTAAGGACTTAATGCTGGAATGAAAAAATACCAAGGAATTCCAATCACCCTGAAATGACCCCTAGGGACAAAGACCACATGACTCTCACACTGGAGGGCACTTGTGCCCCAGTGGAGGGACCAAGAGCACTAACGACGGCTCGACATTCCCCACGGAAAGGAAGCAGCAGAGCCTGTGGGGAACTGGCTCTCTTCACACTTGGGGCCAGACTCTGCCTTCACACGTCCCCTGACAGGACATGCCAATTCTTAGACCTTGATGCTTCTAGGTCAAAATGTCAGGCCTCTGGGAGGATAAGTGCCACGCCAGGCTCCCAGAGCTGACGCTAAGAAAGTCTGCTACATCTTCAAAGAGAAAAACAGCCAATGGCAGCTGTCGGAGGGAAGGCGGGGCTTTTTACCTCCCAGCTGCGGTCTGCCCAGGGCCCACGGACAGGGCTGCCGAGGGTGTTGCAAAGTTTGAAAAGAGACATTAAGGGGTCATGGGCCTTAAACCTTCAGATTTTGCTTGTAATTTTTTTTTCTGTTACTCTTCAAAAGTAAGTCTCTTGTGCCCTGGAATCATGCTCCAGGTTTTCTCCTTCGAGGATTAATCTTGAGAAGCCGTGTGCTCAGAAGAGAAACACTGACACTGGAGGCACTGCTCACAGGCTAAAGGAAGTCCCCCTGCGGCTGGATCGTGGAAACACTGCCTCCCTCTCCTAGACCTCCCCACACCCTGTTGTGTGCTTATGGAAAGGCATTCTGCAGGCAAGGCCCAGAGCGGGCTGGGCCTGCTGAGTCCTGAGCTCACTGGGGTCAGGTCTGCCAAGTCCCTTCCCTCTGGAATTCTTTTTCACCCAAGGGCTCCAGAGGCTTGGCTTTCCTAAGAAGCCTCCAAGCCTTGAGCCTTGTGTGGAGAGGCAGGAAGAGGGGTAGGGGCTCAGGCAGTTCTTGGCCTCAAGTTTCCTCATCTGTGAAACAGGATGATAGCTAGGTGGTACACAGCGTTCGTGATTCATGGTTCTAAGTCCCTTCACTTCCAGGCAGGTGCGTGTTTTTAAATTCAGAAATCCACAGGCAGAGCTCTGTACTGCCCATGCCTGCTCTAGACTCACAGCTGTTGGGTCTCGTGGAGGGACACGTGGTCAGGAAGCCACGCCCTGGACATGCTTTTAAAGACTGGAAAGACCCCCATGGGACCAGAGGTGGCGATTCCCAGAGTCAGAATTGCTCTACCCGGCAGCAGTGCCAGGTCTTTGGAGAAAGTGGGTGCTGACTTAATCGCAGGGTCGAAGGAAAGGGATCTCAAAGTGGGAGGACCAGTCTGACGCCTACCAGGACGGCAAGAGTTGCTAGAGACATAACTCCCTGTGGGGAGCATCCTGAGGTGGGACGGGTTTTGGACGAGGGTCCACGAGTGACTCGGACTTGCATGGCCCTTCTGGGCTGTTAAGCGGACTCCTTCCATCCATAGTGAGCCAGGAGTTGAGGCTGAAGCCACGATTATGGATGCTTAAATGAACCTTTTTAATAGATTGACCACCAGTTGTTAAAAAAATTTTTTTTTAAAGAAAGAAACCCAGGGATGTCAGAAATTACTGGAATTGACTCCTTAGGGTTTGAAAGGTGCTTGGCCTCAGGGCATGAACCCTGCACCTAGGGGTGGGCTAACAGTGAAGCGTGCACAGAAGAAGGCAGGGGCTGACCACGCTGGCCAGACATAGTGCCTGGGCTACGGAGCCCTCCTGCCCCTCACCCCACTACACCAAGGCCATAAGGAGAGCACCACAGTGCAATCCCTCCTCACAGTGCACGAACTCTCAGACGGACTAAATGGAAGGGGCACCCTGCTCTGCCCACAGGGCCTGGAGGAACTATGAGGGGGGGAGAGGATGCTCCAGGGTCCCGCAGATGTAAGGGGCGCCTTGACTAGAGGAGAGGACACTGGCCTTGGCCATTGCCCCATGGCATCAGGCATGTCAACTGGGACTGTGAGGCCTCCATGTTCTCAGCCATCAAATGAGGACCAGCCCAGCTTATCCCTAAAAGACTATGGGCTCTGTCCAGCTGTGGTTTTAGCATCTTCTTGGGTCATTATCTGGGCTGAAGGCTGGTCCACGGGGTTTGAAGAAGAGTGAGTTGGAGGAGGGAGATAGAAAGGGGAAAAGAGATATGAAGAAAGAAAAATAAAAGCCACCTTCCACAAAGACGAGGGACTCAAGCTAACTCCCTTTAAGGTCGGGCAGGCAGGGATGGCTCGGTGGAGGCAGCAGTGAGGGTACCAGGCTCATCGGCCGAGACCAAAGAGAAACTGGCATGTAGGTGCTAGTGGTAGATGGGACCATAGCTGTGGGCAAGCTCTCTGCTATTGGCTGGTCCTCACTTGCCTGCAGGGAGAGCAGCTCTGCTTAGGGTACAGGAGGGCCACCTGCCCAAAGGGAAGCAGTGCTGCCACCAGCTTGGTTGCAGCCAGTGCTCCATTTGACCTCAGGCTGGTGGTGTCTGGGATCCTCCAGGTCTAAGTCGTGAACTCCCACCCCTACCCTAAACCTGGGCTTTGGCAGAGGCCTCTTTTTACCTACTTCTGTTCTTACTGCAAATTTTAGGCATTCACTTCCAGACAACCTCCTGGATGGACACAGCCTGTGGGGGCACACTCCTCTCTAATAACAGCCAGAAAGAGGCCAGAAAGCTGGAGGGCAGGGAGAGCACACGCACCAGCAGTCTCTGGGCGGGCTGGTTCAGGATGGTTCTCAGGGCTTTCTTCGATTGGTAAGGAGCCTGCTGTTAACTCTGGTCCTGGAAGTCCCAGGAGAGCAAGGGTCTTTCTCCCACAGCTCCAAGCCCCAAGGAAACCTAGTGGTCTGATTTCCAATGCAATGGGAGCTGTTTCTGCAGCTCAGGTGTGCTCCTCTGGGAAGGTGCAAAACCTTCCCACGGGGATCCCACGGCCGCCCAGCTGTGAGGCAAGGTCTGTGAGCCCTTTGGTTTCTCTCAATAGTACAGAAAGTTTCCAAATAAAGAATCTGTGCCTGTGCGGTTTGGAAAGACTCAGGGTTCTACACTACAGGAAATAAGGCAAAGCAAATTAATGTACATCATTTAAACAAAAAACACTGCAGCTAGGCGGGAGACCAGGTTAGCTGTTAGTGGGGCTTGTTTCTAGGGAGTCGGGAACTGCAGCTCTAGGAGGAGACAGGGTAGTCAGAGGGCGGCCTGTGTGGGCAGGGGCAGGCATCACCCCCAGCTGCCAAGGCCACACTCAGGTATATGTATATATATATATATATTTTGCAGGATTAACAGGCACGAGGACTCATGGCTGAACTCTCCCAATTTGGACAAAGGAGTGGCCATGGTCTCCAGGAGTCCTCCTGCTCTGTAGCCACCCACACATGTGGGCCAAAGCACCAGCCCATCCCTGAATCAGCCAGCGAGGGGCTCAGGCAGCCCTGTCTCTAAGAGTGGCCATGAGGTCTGGTGCAGAACAGAGCAAGGCGGGGGGGCCTGCTGCTCCGGCAGGTGGAGGGGGACAGGCCCCACCTACACATGGCTGTGTAAACGTCACCAGCTCCAAGCCCCATGGTTCTGACAGCTCAGCAGGGCCCACTGCCTTGATGCTGGGGCCCTGCCTGAACACCCCTCTCGGGGAAGAGAGGGCCACAGACTGCCGCAGTCCCAGAGGGGTCAGCGGTGCTTCTTCCCCAGGAAGGGACCAGTGTCTCCCCAACTCCAACTGCAGGGAGAGTTCTCCGTTCCTCCCCTGCAGCGACTCCACTCTGCCCCGCCACTGCTGCTGTGGTGACCACACTCACGCAGACCTCTGTCCTCTACGTCAGGGTGACAGGGAGGGCTGTAGCTTCAATGAGGGGCCACAATCGTTCCAATGCCCAAAGCCTAGAGCAAGGTCACCCTCTCTCTAGGTACCAGCTTAGGGTCACCTGACCAGATGAGGCAGAAAAGGCCCCCCCAGGCCTGTGTCCCAGAAAAACTTTACTTCTTGAGTAATGTGTTTATGATATTAAATTCTGTGGCTTTGTCTTTTTATTCTGTTCCTATCATGTTTGTGTGTTTCTTTAAGTAGTCCCAATCCCTCTGGGGGACATGGTAGATACAGGTCGCTGCTCTCCTGTAGTAGAGTAGAGCCCATCAGCCTAGGACTGCCAAGTTCACTGGCCACAAGGGCTTCACCAGCTGGCCAGGTGCTTTGAGTCTCTTCTCGGAGAAGCGAAAGCCACAGCACCTGTGCCTGCCCTGGAAAAGTGAGTGCTGTGAGTCTCCCTTACTCCTGCACATGCTGGGACCCTAAGGTCCCAGGGCACAGACCTCAGTAGAAAACCAGAGCAGGTGTTTTCTGGGGCTGGAAGCCTGTGGCTTAAGATTATGCAGAGATAGGAGAAAATTTGGCACCCAGTCAGAAAGAGAATGGCCTTGTTCTGTCTGACTCACAAGGGCTTAGTAGGTAACACAGGTTAAGCGCTGGGGGGACAAGGGCTCTGCTCAGCTGGTGACCTCTCACCATTCCTTGGGTAATGAGCCAGCTGTCTATGGGCTCCAGGTCAGAGTCCCCACCTTTAACTCTCTTCTGGATGGAGAAGAGAAAAGTCACAGCAAGACCCATGATAAAGAGGCAATAGTGCACATCTCACAGAAACAGAGAAGCCTCTGTTCACAGCCAATCATCTGTCACATAAAGACATGTGGTCTGACGCATCCCCACCCCTAGCACGCCCCCCTCACCTACCTGGAAAACAGAAGTTTAGTAACCGAGAATCACAACAGGGCCACATACACTCAGCTGCCCGCTCCCGCGCACTCGGAAAGACCTCACAAGGGCGAAGTCTCACCCCAGGCGGCCTCTCCCCATGTGGGCTCCCGGGGTGGGCAAAGGGCCAGCTTATCAAAGGACCAGCTTTCACAAAATCATTTCTACTTTTTTCTAACTTATATTTGCTTTTTCTTCCCTTTTTCCTCTTCAGTTACCCATGTGCTCTTTTTCTAAACTCTTAAAACTCTGAACTTGGGTATATCACCTTTTTAAACAATTGTTTTTTAATCCTCGCCCAAGGATGTTTAATGATTTTAGAAAGAGATGGGAGGGGAAAGCGAGGGAGACAGAGTGGGGAGAGAGAAACAGCGACTGGTTGCCTCCTGTATGTGTTCCAACCGGGGATCAAACCTGCAATCAACTGACCTACCCAGCCAGGGCACCTTCTTTGTAAAATGACAGAGTATTTAAAAGTATTTAAAGTATTTAAAGCATGACAAAGTATTTAAAGTTAAGACAACTGAATTTGGCTGCACTGTGGATGTGTGGCTATACAACACTCCCTTACTGTATTCCTAATTTCTCTTGACCCAGTTCCCATTTCCAGGCCAGCCTGTTTCAGTACATGGAACAGAGTAACCTGAAGATACATGTGAGTCAGTGTTTGAGTACACAGATACACAAACACACTGAGACACACAGAGATAGACACAGACGCACACAGACACACAGAGACAGACAGACACATGCAGAGGCACACACACACAGATATACACACACAAAGACATGGTCACAGGCACACAGAGATACACACAGACACACACAGCCTACACAAACCCTGCTTGCCAGCACCGCCTCACCCAGCAGCAAACATGAAAAGCACCCGTCCACCATCATATGGAAAACATGCTGTAGTCATTAAGACCTTTGACAATGGAGACCAGCCAAGCCACACCCAGAGGGTAAAGGTGGGCAGCCAGTCCTATCTCCTGGGCTCAGACCCAGGCATGGGCATTGACCATGGCAAAAATGTGGTAGGACAGCACTGGCATGGACATGCAGGCCCTGGAGACTGAGTGAAGCAAACGGAGTCAGCCTGGCAGAGGGCGGGGCAGCTGGCCAGGTGGAGCTAGGGGAGGGATGCCCTCATCTGGCAGGGTGCTCTCAGCCTGGCTCCCAAACGCCCTTCTTGGATTAGGTGGGAGGACATTCTAAGTAACGGGAGAACCAGAACCATGGCCAATGCACAGATTCTGGAATTCCCAGCCTCAGGTGGCACTGCCCACCCTTCAGTGGAAAGGCAGGGGTACTGAGAGACCAAGGCCACTGGGCTGGCTCTCCTGTGCCCCCTGGTGGCGAGTGCACAGGGACGCAGAGCCTTCCTATCAAGTCAGGAGGACAAGGGGTCCTAGTCCTCCCAGTCCTCCCAGCCACAAGCTTCCTCAAGACACACCAGGTTGCAGCACTGCTACCTCCTAGGCCCATGTGGACAGGGGCTGCTGCAGGCTGACCTCTCTGTCCAGTGAAGAGGAGCACTGCCCCTTTTTAGCAGAGCTGGGCAGCCTTGGAAGAAGTTCTAGCCCTCCCCTCTCCCACTCCTGCAAACAAGCATTCATTCAAACACTGCCACACCCATTTCTTAGGCAAAAGGGGAGCAATCTCAGGAGAAGCATTGAGATACAAATCCTTTCCCCTGTGATGATCTGAAATCCTGCAGAAACCAGGGTGTGTCTGGGGCTCTAACACTTCCATCCACGTCCAAGTCCCTCTGCCAGCAGCCGTGGTCTTCCTTCCAGACGAGGAACTTCTAGAGACAGCTTCCTAGCCACCCCCAACTGCTCCTCCCATGCCTTCCACCCCAGCTTCCCAAACAAACGCTGACCATCAGCTCCCCTCTGATGAGGTGGGAACTGCTCCTCCTGGCCGGCTACCCATGGTCAGCAGAGCCATGGCTGGGCCACATTCCCATCCTGATAAGGTCATTGTTTTGTCAGAGCGCTGCCCACCCCAGAGCACTATAGCATCTGAGGGGACACCCCGTCTGGCCACAGGAGACCTGTGGCCTGAGAGCGCAGTGCCACCACGAGAAGGAGAGCTGGGTCCTGGGGTCAGACCTCCTAGGTGTGGACCCTGCCCACTGTCTGCTCGCTGGGAGCCTGTTTCCTCTCGGGTGTCATGGGAAAGCTGACCCAGGTGTCACCATGGGGTAGGGTGAGGACTCCATACGGTTAACAGTTTCTCACCCTAGTATTCCCCAGCATGACCCACCCTCCACACAAGCCAGCCACTAAGTTAACCAGCCAGCTTTACCAAACTGCCTGACTTCACCGTCAGAGGCCTCTAGGCAGACAAACAGGGTCCCAGACCTACCACTTCGGATATCTGTTTCCGACTGTCTAGGGCAGAGGCGAGTCCTCCGACAGCCTGGGGATCTTCGTAGGTAACCCTGGAGATGAAGCAGCACAAGCAGAGTCAGTCCTCCAGAGGCACAGTCCTTGGCATTTGGGCAGAAGCCAGGGCTCATCTGTTGGTCTCTCTGCCACCAAAACCAGGAGCCCTGCCTGGGTCCCAGCACCAGCTCAGCTGCTCGTCTCCTCCAGGGTCGGAATGCCATGTGCCTCCACATTACTCTCATAGCAACATGCGAGCATCTCTAAAGCTCAGTGACAGGGTATCAGGGGTGCCCTGAGACTGCTCAGAGGGAGGCATGAAATGAAGGCAAGTGTTACTCCTTCCTGTTTTAAAGGCAGCAGCTTCAGTGGCATTGGACAAGGAAGGTCTGGGATAGGGGCCTGTCACTGATTCTGATGGTTGCCTTCCTTTGTTCCCTGACCCCTTTCACCATATCCATTTCAAGAGCAACTTTTGCTCATGAAGGGTGCATGGGGCCTTGGGTTTCTGGTCAACCTGCTGATTTTGGAGCACAGGTCTCAGAAAGCTGAATGCATCAATGCTGAGCCCCTGGGAAAGGCTGGGAAAAGCATTCCTAACCTGTCTACAGGCTGATTGGAAAGCTCCAAGCTTGTTCCAAGGCCTCCCTGAGATGCAGGGATTGTCTACTTTGGAACAAATCCCTCAATTCCACATGGCCTGCCCTGGCCAGAGCTGCTGTCAGGGAAGTTTCCACCCACACCCGTGGGTAGGAAAGCCTCACTGTTAGGACCCAGTTCGGTCCCTGCTTGGCTGTGCTGCCCCACTCCTGGCCCCTCCTCCAGACGAGGTTTCTGCAGCAGTAGCACAAGCAGAGGGAGCAGCAGGGCCCTCTCCTGTGACCAACAGAAGAAACTCTGTTACAACCGACCCCCAGGCAGGCAAGGCTGGCTGTCAGCCAACATCCATGTCCACTGCCAAGTTCTCACAGCCACCATTTCCAAGTTTTGTGCCACCCCAGACCTGATAAGCAGGCCTCTCTGTGCTGGCTGTGGCCAGGCCTGGACCAGGCCTCCCCTACCATCTTCCAAGAGCCACAGAAATGACCCCACATACGTCTTGCGTTGCTCGGCCAAGGAGTTCCCTCTTGTTTGGGCAAACATGTCAAAGCCATCATGAGTGTGACACTGCTGGAGTGAACTGAGGGTGCCGCTGACGCTCTCGGTTCCCAAGTCTGTGGCAAAAAAAAACAAACAAGGGGAGGATGAGAATAGAATGAGGAACACATACTTCATGGAGGGTCCCCAAGTTAGGATGCTAGTCCAGCAGGTTAAAGTTCTGGGGGTAGCAGGTAAGGGGCACAAAGGGGGACACTATACATTTCTCAGCGCCCCCAGGCTACCACGTGCAGAAGGAGCCACGATGGGTGGAGGCCAGATGGAGAACTACCACTGACCCCTCAAGCAGCTCCAAGGTGGGAGAAGGCCATTATGACAGGCAGACTGCTGGCAGTGGGGAGTGGGGCCTGAGGCCAGTGTCCCTCGGGTTCCCCAGAATGCCTGCATCGGGGGCCGCCTCCTCAACTCAATCCCAGTGTCTGAGGACCTGGGCCATTTAGTTATTTGGCAAATACTGCTCAGGTGCCCAGCATGTTCAGAACTAGAGCCTGAATGCACCAAATTAAATCTGATGTGGCCCTTGGTCTCGAGGAGTGCACAGAGTAGGTGGGAGACAGACAGACAACAGTGTAGTTGGCTTGAGATACTGAAAAAGACTCCGAACCGACACAGAATGGGTCTCTTAGGACACAAGGGACCATGCTTCAGGGAGAAGAGGTAAGAGGCAGGCAGGGACAGAGGCTCAGCACCTGGAAGTCCACGGTGTGTGGAGTGAGCAGTGATCATGAGGGAGAGGCTGGAAAGGCAGGTGAAAGGTGGCCAATGCCAGAAAAAGGAGCTGATGGAAAAAACACTGGACCTTTTTAAAGAAGGGAGGCAGCATAATTCAATTTGAACCTTGGATATTAAATCCGGTGGCCATATGCTGGATGGATGACAGGCAGAGAAACCTGTTCTCTAAGAGAAACAGGGGCACAGACAGAACATTTTGAAAAGCCAGAAATAAAAGCTCAATTCAACTGAAATGAAATGAAGGTATACAGATAAATCTTAAGCAATAAGAAAGGTAGGAGAAAGAATTGAGAGGGCCACGCGTGTTATTCCAATACTATAATGGGGTTGCACATGGGCATCACGCCGTGTGGCCCTCGGTGTGCAGCACCTTGTGTCAGACACTTTGAAACGGAGCAACTGTGGAAGGGCAGTGTTTCTGGTTTATATTCCAGACAGCGGAACTCTGTGGGCTGGTGCCAGGTCAAGGACAGCGAGCATCTCGGTGCCGTCACTTCCTGTTGCCAAGCCCAGGGCAGGCATCACCAGTCAATCACAGACTCCTCTTCCAAGCCCTGACGAGGATGCAGCATCCTTCTTAGACCTGTATTCCAAGCAGCCAGTGAGCTGAAGCTTATATGCCATCTTTGGCCTGCTTGATACTGAGAAAGAAATCACTTCAACCATAAGGAATATTCCAGATAAAACACAGCAGCCACCTATCTTCTAAAAAGCAAACAACTTCCTTTTCCTTGGAACCCCCCAACTCCTGCTTTCCAACATCAGTCTAAACTTTAAAGTTTAGGGAGAAAAATTATGAACTGAAGGTGGTACAATGGGCCAGGACTCAGGGAGATGCTCTCCCATGGACTCCCCAAAAGGCTCTCTTCAGGCCTTCCAACCAAGAGCGGGAAAGCGGCTTCAGCCCAGCCTCCCGACCAGGAAGTGGCCCACGAAGGAGGTCACTAATGCCTTTACAAGATACTCACCCAAGCCAGCAAGCTGAGATGAGAGGGAAGATGGGGGGGCTGTGCTCCCCACCATTGGGCTCACCACGGCTGGAGATCCTGGCCCCAGGTCTATCAGATTGTCTTCGGTCACTTCGTTCAGCACCTGTCACGACATTAGATGGCAGTGGGCTCCAGAGCCTGTGTGTGCCGGTCTCTGAGAGCAAAGCCCGCAGGCTTCATGCAGGGTCCCAGCACTGCACCAATACAGGAGCAAGGCGTGTCCCTCACCCTGACATCAGGGGTCCCCTGTGGGCCTGGGCATCCCCCTCAGTGGATGCAGGGCCGAGTCAGTCACCCGGACAGGGCAGGGGTGTCATTGCCACCTATCCCCTAGGGATGTGCCTGTTAGCTCTTGCTCAGTGTCCCATCAACCAGAGCGTGCTGTTCAGTTAACCAAATATTTACACCAAGTAGAAAATAAAACAGAAGTGCGACCAAACTGAGGCAGCTTCTGGGTTCTGAAGACGAGAGAATTCTGAAGGAATACTTACTCCATTACTGGCATTTGGAACCAACCGGCCAGACCTGTATCGCTCAAACCTACCAGGAAGGAAATGCAGAATGAGGAGGGAGGGTGGGGGCACTGTGACATCTACAGGTCCTGTGAGGAGCTTCTGGGGACGGAGGTTCTAGGAAAGGATAACCACCAGGCCCGTTTTGGGGGCTGGGAGGACAGACCCACGAACACACTTCACCGTGCCTTCCCCTGGGTGGGGCTGTCCCAAGGAGGATCGGCCACCCGGCCTCACCCATGGACACCCTGATGTGAGGTAAGGAGGGTACCATTAGAAGCACCTGCAGCTGTCTCTCCCTCAGGCCCTGGCCCAGGTGTCCCTCTTGTCACTGGAGGGGGAGGTGGGCCAACCATTTATTTACCTGGGGGCAAAGTCAGGCACCAAGCCCTATTTCCCAGAGGGCAGCCACCTGGAAGAAGAAGACAGGCAGAGGCCTCTGGCCTGGTGAAAGAATTCCTGGGAGGGGCTGTCAGCAGGTCTCCAGGCCCAGCCCCCAGCCTGCTGGCTACAGACTGGCCAAGGATGGGACTTGGCTCAGAGCAGCTGTAGGGACCCTCGTCTCTCTTATCCACATTATTTTCATGAGGGGTAGGGGGTGGAGAAGCGCAATTGTGAGGGTGTCTGTGGGCTGCTGTCACATTTAAAAACTCCCAAGTGCCAGGGGCGAAGAGGTAGCTAAGAGGTATCCTACAGCTGAACCCTGGAGAAACCCCGTCCCTGGGGTCCACTGCTCCAGTGCTGGGCTCCTGCGTGCAGGGGACATGCCCGCGGAGCAGGGGTCTCCACAGGAACAGTCTGGTTATGACGTGTGCACTGGCTGTGGTTTTATGAGAGACTTGTGTGGTTTTTCCCAACCATGGTCTATATTATAGACCGAATGTAATTTCAGCTCCGTAACAGTTAAGGAGTAGTTACAATTATACAGTCCTAAAATTATTTCGGCCCTTTGAAGGCAACCTCGAGGCTGACTGGCCCCCCGTGAAAACGAGTTTGACACCCTGTCTATAAGGAGTAGGATTAACACATCTGGAGGATTTCCTTGCCCAGAGTGCCTTCCCCACACCACTCAGCCAGGATGGCGCTGCAGGGCTGCTGGCCTTAGGCTTCAATTCCAAATTTGTTGTGACTCTGGGACTGGCCCACTCAGTTGAAAATGCCCACATTAGGTCCTGTCATCCTATTCTAGAAAGGGCTAAGATGGGTCTAACAGGTTAAAAGTCAAGCCCATTTAGAGTGGAGAAATGGAAGCACATGGCAAGACCAAGAGGTCTTGGGCTGGAGTCAAGGTACCTCTCAGATCTGTTCCTATTCTCTGGCTGGCATACCCCTAGGTGACCCCATGTTCTTCCTGCAGAGGTTTCTTCACCTGCCAGGCGGACACAAGGCCACCCTTGACTACTGCCACAGGTAAAGCTGAGATAAAGCCCAGAGTTATGATAGCTATAGGAAAACCATCCTCTAAGATCCCAATCCAAATGAGTATCTGTCACACTGACCTTAACAGGTACCAGACTAGCATGACCTGAGTCAGCAAGGGGCAGGACTCTGAGTCTCCAGGGGACCTGGGGCTTAAACTTAGAAGGAGAATGTTGTCCTGGTCAAGGTGCCTGCTGGGCTGACACTGGGTAATTCAGGTCAGGTGACCCTAGAAAGCTGGAGGTGGCCACCACAGGGAGGGATGGACATGAGACTGCATTGCATCTCCACTGAACAGTGCATCTGAGTCAGATGCTATGCACGTTTTCTGGAGGGAGGCTTTGAAAGAGAAAAGAATGTACAAGTTTGTTATCTCAAACCCAGACATGATCTGGCTGAGGAAAGGGTTGAACAAACATATGTGTATTTCCCTCCACAGCTGCATGCCAGCATGCATGCCCTGCCTGCTGCTGAACATGCTACATGCAGTAATGTTTGCAAAGGAAAGGGGAAAAAACTTTTTTTAAGGATGAAAAAATCTTTTTTCTTTTGTAGAGATTTTCTTCCCTTTAATCCTTTCCAAATGCAAAGGCTCTTCAAAGCAGCAGGTGCAGAAGCTCCAGGGTCTCCAAGTGCCCCCCCTGGGGGGGGTTGGTGAGAGAGGCAGAGCAGCATGAGGCTCACAAAAGGCAGAGCCTCGTTCTGCAGTCACCTGCCTGCTGCTGTGCTCCTCGGAGAAGAGGAGCATTTTCCCTGCCATCTGGGGACAAATTAGCATCTGTAATGAGTATTTCCCAAATCTAATATTTCTCTCCATTTTGTGTATGAAAGAAACCCCCCTGTTATGGTGATAACCTTTCCCAGGGGAAGAGGAGCCGCCCCCACCTCTCGTATCGCAGGAAGACGTTGTTGAGATCGTCGTTGACGTGCAGCAGCTCCTCGGTGACCTCCTCGTTGGACACGCGGGAGATGAGCTCCACGATGCGCTGCTGCATGGCCCGGCAGGTCCTGTTCAGCTCCTAGGAGACACGTACTGCTGGCTGTGCTTTTTGTCACATTCTATTTCTTTCAAGAAAATGTGTACGTACTGCTTCCTAAAAGTCACAGCAGAAGTATGTTCTTGTCCACAAAGGTAGGCGTGTGTGGGACATCGGGCAGCAGGCCTCCCTCACTGCCCCCTCTGAGCTCCAGGGGCAAGCAGCTCTTCCTCAGCTGACAGACAAACGTCCACACCTACAGACTGTCAGGTGTCCTGAAGTACATGTTTGTACAAAGCATTTTTAAAATATATTATTCTTTGCAGATTGCCTTTTCAACAGAATATTCTGGACACCTCTGCCCATCACTTCATAAAGACTGCCTCATCGTGTGTGTGTGTGTGTGTGTGTGTGTGTGTGTGCTATAATGTACCCCAACATTCTTCTATTTAGGGGCATTTAGGTTGCAGTCTCTTTTTTGGCTAATTTAATGCAGCAGCAGACATTTGTATACATAAAGGCTTATGCGTTTGTACCAGCACCTGCATGGGATGAGCTCCTAGGAGTGAGATATCTGGAGGAAAGGGTATGGTCATTTAGAAAATTAATTTTGAAGGGTTAAGGACCCTTCAAAAACCTGAGACCCATTTACTTACTCTCCCAGGGGTGGCAGGAGTGTGCTTTAGGGCGCCATTTGGGTATTCAGTGCTGAAGGGTAATGAGCACCCCAGACCGGATCCTGTAGGTTAGGGCAAGGTGGAAGCTTGACTGACCCACCTCCCAGGCAGAAGTAGACAGTGGTCTGCCAGACACAGGTCTGGACGCTATTTCCGCAGCCACTCCCCCGTGGCTGCTTAGCCTGTGGAAGCTCTCTCCTGGGGATTGGGGGCAGCTGACCAAGTGGGGCAGCCCCAAATCACTCCAGTTAGCTGCATTTTTTTAAGACATAAGGGATCTAGATATAGGCAGCTGGGTATCAAGAGCCCTAAAGCCATAATCACTTCATCTGGAGATTCTCTCTGGCTTGCTGGGTGTTTGGGCTCCATCTGTCTGGTTATGGAAACGCTGCCCTTCACCTTGGCTCTGCCCTGCTGCTAGCCCTCTGCACAACAAGAATGGAGCTGTCAGCCTTTCTTGGTCAACACGGATGGCAAGCCCCTGCCTGGGCCTCCTGGGTTTTTCTCCAAACATTCTCACTTTGGTTCTCTTATGATTACCATTCCAGGGTTTGGAGAAGGCAGGGTCCTCCCAGGAAATAGAAGACTTCTAGCAAATCACTGGATACTCATAACCCCTCTCTCTTTACCACCTACCTGGTACTTCAGATACCAGCTGTACCCAGGCCAGGCCAGCCCAGGTGGGTGGTAACATCCCCCCCACCCCCAAGCAGTGGGGATGCAGAGGAGGGAGAAGTCGGAGCTGGGCTGGGGCGGGAGGGAAGAGGATGAGGGCTTTGACTTTCAAGTGCCCCGAATCCTCAGTCTGCCCAAACCCCCAGCTCCCCATAGCAGTCCTGGCTTAGTTACCCACATCAGTTCTCCGGGCCTGTTTCTCCGTGGGCACAAGGAGGCAGAGAAATGGCAAACCTCTGCAGAGGGCTACCAAGGTGGCTTCACAGCATGGGGGTAGTGGCACCCCACCCTATGGCAGCCAGGACGGCTCTGCTTTTACCCATTCTAAACATTTTGGTTCTCTGTAGTATTTAATTTGAGAAGAAATGGGCTTCAATACTGGACAGAATGTTTGGGAGATGGAGGATGGCTTCTGAGACCTCTGCTAGCTCTAACCCTAGAGGAATGAGAGCCCAGGGCACAGAATGCAGCGAGGACATGGAGTGTGAGCCTGAGAAACATCTGCTTTGGCCTTATGTGTGCTGCCTTCAGTGGTGGGGGTATGGGGGAAACAGCCCTGACTCCATCATCAGCAGAGGAGCACCCAGAGTGCCAGCCCTGGGCTATTAATTAGGGACCTCTAGAGAGATCTCTGCCGAGAGGAAGCTTTACCATATCCATGCTTTAACCTGGTAAGTTATTGTCTTAAAATGTAATTAAATAGGAAGAAAAAAGACAAAGAGATCAGAGGTGAGAGGAGGACCAGGACGTTAAGGTTTCTGCTACCACGAACACCAGCTAGCAGCCTGCCCAGTCTCCCCAGAATCGCCACAGCCAGACCACGGCAGGCACAGCGGGCGGACTTTCCTCTGCCCTGTTCCCACATCCACACCTCCAGACAGTGACTCTCCCACACCAGAGGATGCTGAGAGCTAACTGCTGGCCCAGGTGGTCCTTCCCACTGGGCAGCAGCTGGGATGAGAAGCTCATTACTGTTGATGATTTCGGTGTTGGCCTCCTGCGTCTGGTTCTCAATGGAGAGGGAGAACAGCTCGTTCCTTTCCCTGTGCAAAAGCCCTCTGTCTATCAGAACATCTTACTAAAATATCCTCTTTTCTAATAACTAACTCCTAATGCCTTTATCTCTTCTTCCAGGGACACTCACATCCCCACTTCATAAAAACCTGTGAACCATCATGATGGGTGTCCTCCGAACCCTCTCCATGTTCTAAAGAACACGGAATAAGGTCCTGAAGGTCTGCTTCCTAGAGCTGCAAAGGAGGAGGGAGGGAGAAAAAATTCTGTTGAAGAGAAAGTGGAAACAATGAAGCTAAATGTGGAGAATAAATTAGATTTCTCTAGAGAAATAAAATGGCCTGGCCTTCCAGTCTTTTGCTGAAATGAGATGCAGGAAGAAAGCAGGAAGCAGGGGCGACACCTCCCAATTGCTCCTTGAAGAAACGTGCAGGAAGGCTTCTTTTCTTATCTGATGGGTGGTCATACAGGCATGCCAAGTTTTGGCATCACTGAATTAATTGAAAGTTACTCTTAATTGAAAACTAAGTTCAAGAAGCTAATTTGAAAGGACAGAAGGTACCAAATGACAGCATTGGGATCATTAGACTCCAGAAGGTTCGACTCACAGGCTGTAGCTGAGGGTGTGAACTTCAGCAGACCTGGATGCAGAACCTCCTATTGTAGGCCCAGCCCCACGTGGCCATGTGCAGGGTGGGCAAGGCGCAGCTCAGCAGCCACATGAGAAAGAGATGCTGGGTTTTCAGTGGATGTCTCCTGCTGAGAACTGCCTGGTTACCTACAAGGTGGGCCGCCCACAGCCACATCTGTACCACACAGCAACTGGGCTGTGGGCAGTCTTCAAATGTTTAAGGACCTACCATGTGAAGAAATACTTGTTTTCTACTGTTGTTCAGGAAGGCAGACCAGGGCAGCAGTTATAGGGAGACGTGCTGGATATAATCGCAGCAGCTTCAACTTGCGGAGGACCTGTCGGTGTCCGGCCCTGAGCTAGCACTGGAAATAGTTTCCCATCTTCCTCCCTGGTGGTGCTGATTACTCTGACCTCCTAGGGGTCGGGGACTTGTGGCATCGGCCACAGTGGTTGGACTTAGACACGAACCATGGACTCCTTGGCCCTTGCTTTTCTTGCACTGCTGTGCTGCCTTCCAAAGTCCCGCCAACAGGTGCATTTGGAAAGAATGCGCTTCCATGGGCTGACCTGAACAGCTTGCTGCTGAGGATGTTAAGGAAAACAAGGCAGGCACATTGCTGTCGGGGGAATCGTAGCACAGTGTAGAGCCAGACCAGCTGCCTGCAAGGTCTCTCCCAACTTGGAGCAAAGGGAGGGGCTGCTGGCTCCCTCTGGGCTCTCACCTCACTTTCCCCTGGAGCTCCAGCTAGGCTGACAACACAGTGGAGTAGAGAAGCCTCAGCCTCCCTCAACCACAAGTTATCCCCCAAAGTCCTTAGGCAAACTGCTCTCCCCAGAAAGCTTCTCTGAGGCTCTGCAGGGCTGTGGCGAGGCTGCACCTCAAAGTGCTTTGTGACTTACAGGAAACAATCAGGATATAACCCACCCATAACTGTGGCAGGTCACACCAGTGCATCCTGGGGGTGACACCTCCAACTTCCTCTCTTCCCATTTCCTCCACCTCCCACCCAGCAATTTACACTAGAGACAGGAGCAGCTTTTGTTGGCGTGAACAATTGGGTTGGTGACAACAGTATTTATTTCCGTGGCCCTGGCCAACACTGCAAGCTCTCTAGACAGCTTCCACTCTGACCAGTCTGGCTGCCCTCCAACTTGACTGAGGGGTCCTCAGGGCACATTCTAATCTTGTCACTTTCCAAGCAACTGTGCCATTTTCCTATGTGGAAGGCTCACTGTTCAGTCTGGCCCCAACACTTGGGAGACCCTGCCTGGCTGTCTTTAGACAGCTGGGGGAGAAAGAGGAGGAGACACCAGAAATGACAGAGTGAGACCGGCAGCCAGGGGAGTCGTGTCTGTTCACACAGAGCTGCCCGGCTCCTGAATCCTCCATGCTGAAAGGACAGCCTCCCACTGGTCCCCAGCACCGTTCTTTCCTGCTTGATTTATAAGACAGCAGTGTGGGCTGGTAGGCTCAGAGTTGGAACAAAACAGAGGAAAACGTCATGGGAAGAAGCCTATTTTTGAAAACTGTGAGCTGACGCCAGGAGATTAGGTTGTTTATCTTGGCTGATGGGTTTGTTTTAAAACACACATACATATACACTCTGACATGCACACACAGAGTACCCTTGCTGTCTGGGTCTGCCCTGGCTGTCTGGAAGCATGCTGGCTTTGTTCAGCCTCCCCCTGTGGTCAGGAGGTCTGTTCTGTCCACTGTGGGCCCCTTGTCAGCAGGAATTCTGATGCTGACAAAGCACAGGGCTGCTTTGAGAAGCCCTCCCGGTTTCTATGCTATTTTCAGACTGATCTCAGACCCCGATACCTTGGGTAACACCCAGAAGAACCCCCACCACGGGCTGGGAGTGGAGGCTGAGAACACACTGACAGGATGCTGGGTCCCATGGAGTGTGGCATGTGGACAGCTGGACCTATTCAGCTGTGGCAAGCCTGGTGCGTTGCTGGAATGGGGGTGAGGTTTGGGAACCAGGGTGGGGCTGGCAGCCGGTGTGCACCCTGGCTCCAAGAGCAGCCCGATCACACAGTGCTGTGGAGATGAGCTGTTCTCTTGTCTGTCTCCTGCACTAAGCTGTAAGTTCCTCCAGAGCAGGGGTCTCAGTCAGTGTACCTGTGGGCCTCTGGGGCTTTGCTCTGTGTTAGGCCCAGAACAGGCTTCCACCCATCCTCTCCCCCCAGGAGCCGATGGCTTCAGAGGACAGAGGGGGCGTGACAAAAAACAGCTCAGGACAGGAGCAGCCACTTGGCAGTGTGCGTGCCTAAGGGACAGGGCCATGAGAGTCGAGCCTTCCCAGGCAGCAAGTGTGTACCAACAGGGTGGGAGGTGTGGCCCGGAGAGGCCAGGGCTGACAGCCCCAAGTGTAGGCAAGAACAGCAACAGCAGGCAAGTCCTGAGGACTCCTGCCAGTGCACCGGGCTGGTCTGGCTCCTGATTTGTTTACTCAAGTATCTTGCCTCCCACTGAAAAGATCTGACACTTGGGAGTGCACAGCATCCTTTCTCCATCCCCTGTGGAGGTCACTGCTTCTAAGGGTAGAGCCGCTGGCACTCTCTACAAAGGCCATAGCCCTCTGGGACGGGTGTGGTGGAGATCCAGCTGCTGGTATGGGCCTGGCTGGCCTGGGAAGCAGGGTCTAACCTGAGGGCATCCCTGCAGGCCGGCCTTGCTGCCAGGCTTCTGGACCCGCACGGCATCTGATTAGTAAGAGAGCCCCGGGAGCCGCTACATGAACAGTCTTGGCCTGGGAATCCTCAGTGTTTGGGAAGAGAAAAGGGGCTTCAGCTTCATCTCAGTCTCAGAGTGGCTGGTTCCCATGTACAGGAGAGGGTGGAGTCCCATTGCAAATGTGCGCGGCATGCAGTGGTGTTGAGGGAGCAAAGTAATGCACAGAATCACATGTATAGTACTAGAGCATCTCAATTACATTTGAATAAACAGAAAAAAATCTCAAAAAAATACCTCAAAGCATCAACTGTGGTAATTTGTGGATGCTGGCATTAAAGAAAATTATCATTTTCTCCTTTGAACTTCCTTTTCTTTAGATGGGCATCTATTCTGCAACCGGCATTTTGTAATCAGGAAAAAATGTTATTAAGGACAATAAAACAAGAGAAAGCCTGGCACCAGCCTCTGGCTGTTTTCACCAGTGGGAGGCTGGGCCCGGCCTACCCAGGCTTGATCCCTCCCACTCTGCTGCCTCCTGGGGCCCAGGGCTCCCACAGGGTGAGGCCCCTTACCTGGAGCAACTCCAGATCGGATGAGTCCTCCTGCCCAGGCACCATTTCCGTTAGCATCTCAGACATAACTTTCGTGTTTCCTCGGACAATGTCCAGTTCACTCCGCAGCCTGGTGATCTGTTGGGGCCAGGAGGAAAGCAGGAAGGAGAGGTCAGTTACCTGTTCCCGGCTTGTGACAGGCCCACGCACAGTGATACCTAGGTGATACTGCTGAGTGAGTGTAGCAGTGAAGGCTTCTTATCTCCCTCTGGTCTGCATGTAAGGAGGCTGGCAGCTCCTACAGGATGTTGAGGGGGGAGTGAGGCCCCCTGAGAGCACAGGGGCTCTGCCCAGGACACTGAGGCAGCACTGTGCAGGCACAGCATGCTGGGTGCAAAGCGAACTGAGCTGGTCTGCAGTCTCAGCTCTCCCATCACAGGACCTTGAGGAAGGAATTATTCTCTCAGGCTCTGCGGCTGCTCTTTCAAGTGAAGGGTGGAGTGCGTGATCCCTAAGGCCCCTTCAGCATTGGGATCCTTGCTATGGAACCAAAGAGTTACAGGCTCCACCTCCTGACAGTTTCTAATCTAACTACTGTGGTCTTCTGAGAGGCTGGCCAGTGTTAACCATGCTTTCCTGGTGTGGCAAGAGTAAGGGAGAGGGACTGAGAAAAGACCTCGGAGAGACCCGCTCCTCCTAGCTCCCTACCAAGGAATAACACAAACCCTGAAAACTTCCCAACCTGCCCACCCAACAGAGCTCCCCAGAGCCTGGGCCTGGGCTGTCTCTCCTGCAGCAGGGACACAATAAGGATAAACCTTAAGCTCTCTGGATCTCAGTTTCGTCACCTTAGACAGGCGAGGATAATATCCATGATCTCATAGGGCTGCTGTGAGAAACTGACGTGAGAATGTCCACACAGAGCTGGCGCGCACATGCCCAACACTGCTGCAGCGTCCAGAGTGGGGTTTTGCTATCGCTCTAACTGCATGTGACCTGCATCAACAGTGAAGCCTTCCTGGATTCTCCCTGCCCTCCCCAAAGTGCCACCGAGCACTCCTCCCTCCTCTGGCAGGCCTTTCTGGTCAACAGGATGACAGGCTCCCCTCTGCCTCTGGCTTTCCTGGAGGGTGGGGGCCCACGTCTTGCTGAGGAGAGGTTTGTGGCTAGGGAAGCCCCACACTGCGACAATGAGAAACCTGGTGGCTCCGCAGCTGGCTCCCTGCCTGCCTCCGCCTCCTTCCCCCAGGGCAGTTAGTACTCACGCCCTCTCGTCCACCCCACACCCTGCCTCGCCTGCTCTGGCTGTGGGGAGACCTCCTCTTGAGCTCCCACACACCAAATGCAAGTCAGTGGAGGGGCACAGTGGCCACCCTGCTTGGGGTATGTTCATCCTCCCTCTGGGGAGAGGGTGGCTCAGTTCTGCCCAGAGGAGCAGAACCTGGCGCCAAAGGCCTTCTTTGCCAGGGCCCCCTTTCAGGCCAGGTCCCAGCCCCTGCAGTGCAGCGAGGCCCAGTTTATGTGACCCCCACGTATCCACACAGGGCTGCACTGTCTCTCCTCAACAGTGCACATAAGCACTTGGGTATGCATCTCCCTCAGCTGCCCCTCAGGAGTCTGAGACTGTCCAGTACCACAGGGGTGGCAGGGGTGAAGGCTAGCTGCTGGGAGGAGCAGCTCTTCTGCTTGCCACGCCCCTCCTTGGCCTAGGGGTGAAGGCAGGACAGCAGGCACTGGCAGAGCCCTTCCCTTAGCCAGTCAGAATTGCATGCCCTGGTATTAGATCAGTCTCCTAATAATGGCATTGTTGCAAATATTAAACAAGGATTTAAAAAGTATAAACACTGTATAGATTTTTTCCGAGTCTAACCCATCCTCAAATTTTAATGTAAATTCTAGAGATTTACCCAAAGACTAGGCTCCACATCCCATCTAAAAAAGGCCAGTCTGGGGTTAAAGGGCACCGGCTTTTCAGGAAGTCACTCAGCAAAGGCAGATACACAGGACAAAGGCAGGAAGGGCACTTCCTGAAGGCCTCCGGGTCCCACCTCAGCCTCCACAGACAAGCAGGGCCTTGCCGAGGGCCTCGCTGATGGCTGGCCTTCCTCATGAAATAAGTCTGACCCTCTCTGAACTCTATTCCTGTGCTCTTGGCCTCACCTGCTGCCAGTTTCCTCCCCACCACCCATCCTACAAACTACCCCTTGCCTCTACAGCACCACACTCTGTGCCCCCTGCCAACACACCTCACCAGACAAGGTCCTGCTCCAACTTCCAGACCTTCGGTAGCCCTGTGCCCTAGGTTGCCTGCCAGAGACTGTGCAGCTCTGCTCTCAGAACATGTGGAGACCACCCTGCACCAGTGACCATACACTCCTGACTGTCTTCACACCTGTCCCCCAACCTTGTCTCTCAGTCCTCAGGAGAGGGGTTGGCCCTTCCATCTGTGGGCGGGCCGCTGACACCTAGCAAAGTGCCTAGCTTGGGAGGCCCTACTCGTATCCCCAGAAAGGGTGGGTGAGGATGGCTGGCTGGTGTGCCTGTGGCCCGGGAGGATATGAGTACCTGTTCTGAGTTGGCTGTGATGGGGCTGGTCACACTCAGCGCTGGGGCCTGTGGAGCAGAGTAGAGAGCGGGAGGAGGCGAGGAATAGGAGCCGGAACTTGTCCTCTGCTGCAGCTGGGACCAGGACCTGATGGCAGCTGGATCCACTTCAGGGACACTCTGGCATGGCAACAAAAGTCCTCTGTTTACCTAGGACGCCTGTGCTGCTGGGCCCGGCACCCACCCCACCCAAGGCAGCGCTTCCCACCATAGCTGCCCACAGGTAAGTGGAGGGTGCCCTCCGCTCCTAGGCTCTCCACTGAGGAGGGGGCTCCCAACGGCTCCTCCCTCTGCTCACCGCGCAGCCAAGTAAAGCAACTCCAAAGGCAGTAGTGAGGGTGCTCTGACGGGGCTCTGGTCAGGGTTCCCCACGTGAGTACCACCAAGGGACCTGGTGGGTGGGGCTGCTGTTAAGTTTTGCTGCTATTTGGTATCAGAAGACTATGTTTTGGCTTTTACAAGTAGTGTAATATAAACACAAATTATGCAATTTACTGAATGTTCTTTGTGATTACAGGAAAAACAACACACAAGGGGGACCCCAAAAAGACCAGAATTATTTTCTGGAGGGTGGGCCCCTTGCAGCACAGGCTTCCCCTGCTAAGTGAGTGTTCTCGGAGCCCATCTGCATCAGTGCATCAGCTGGTGGTGATTCCACTTCAGTGGAATTTTCTGAAAAATTTTCTGAAAAATTCCACTTCAGTGAAATTTTTCTGAAGACTCTTTTAACACATTTGCCTATTTCACAATAGGTGATTTAGGAGTACACCTGCCCACACAGCACTGAGCATGTAGCAGTTTTTGACCAAAACAGCATGACTCCTGTGCCACAACCCTCCCTTTTCACCCAATCTCACCCCGAGCAACATTTTTTTTGCTTCCCCAGATGAAAAAAAGTCCTTAAAGGGAAACATTTTGCCAATGTGGAAGAAGCAAAACAAAAAACAGCAGCAGCACTAAAAAGCATCAAAATCAATGAGTTAAAAAACTTTTGAGCAGTGAAAAAATGTCTTCATAGGTATATTGCATCAAATGCAGGGTACTTTGAAAGTAACTGAAGTTTGAATATGTAAGAATAAATACACAATTTCTTATAAATTCCGGTTTTCTTTGGGTCTCCCCCTTGTAGGTCTGTGTCGTTATTAGAATAAAACAGGTCATACTTATTCCACAAAGCACAGGAAGTGGTCTGGAGGGATCATAATGAGAATACTGCTTTGGGAAGTACAGCCCCTTTGGCTTTCCCTGTGGGCATCTCCAGCAACCTCTTGGGCATTAGCTGTGTTCACACAAGGGACCTACACAGGCATGCTGTCCTTCTCGCCCCGGTTCAGAGACAGGCAAACTAGGGCCAACAAGGCAGAGTGCTCTGGGATGGAGTGTCTCTCCCAGACCACAGAGCTCCCTGGCTCTCCCCCACAGGGCTGACTCCTAGCCAGCAGAGGTGGACACCAGATTCTCTAGGAAAGGATGACGGGCTTCGCCTGCATGTGGCAGGAACCTCAGTGGGAGGCCTCTAAATGGGTCCTTCATAGTCTTCGAATCCCAAGCATGTATGGGCTGATGCTGAACACTCATATCGCAAAGTAAATTTTAAATACATTTGATAACGGGTCCTTTTAGATCTACCTGGTTAACCCTTACAACTGAAAAAATCAGAAGCAGCTCTCTGCCCCGCCTCCAAGACGAGCTCAGCCACTGCACTGCCAGCACCCACGTGTGCTGGTACTCTCAAAGGGAGAGGCTCGCACCCCCGTGCCAGATCCTGGAGGCTCTGAAAAGCAGGTACTAATGACCCTCACAAAGTGGCTTCCCCAAGCAGCCATTACCATGAACACGTCTGAACCGATTCCTCTGCTCTATTCTCCCACAGTCAGTATGAAAATAGGGGAGATGCTGCAGCCACTTAATCCCCAGTCAACCAGCTGTCTCACTCTTGCATTCAACCTTGTGACTAAAAAGAAATGCCCTCGAGCTTTGAGAAGGCGTGATGACATGCTGAATAATTCAAACGGAGCCACAGAAGGGCAGTGGCTCTCGTGTTCTGCCATAGGTCTTTTTAGAAAATGCCAGCTGGAAGCTTACCCGCTGCGGTGTGTGTATGGGAGACAGAGCGTCCAAATCTGCCATAGGAAACTCAACTCCCTTCCTCTTCAGCTCCTCATATATATGCACGACGCCTGTGAGGTCAGGACTGCTTCGAAAGGCATCCGCCCAGGCCTGGGAGGATAAGAGGCCTGTTAGGGAGCATTTCCCACCGCCTGTCCCAGGGCTTGAAAGTTTAAGCAGCCCAGCTGCTTGCTGTCTTAGAGGCCAGTATGCCCTGTACCCAGATGCAAGAGCCCTAGCCAAGCCCACTTGGCCCCTCCTCCTGCCAGTGCTGTCACAGTGCAGATGGCAACACCCTGGTCTTGCAATGGTGCTGTTGAGCATGAACAACACACCGAACTCAGTGCGGCCTATGCAGCATTTCCTTGGAGAGGAGAAATTCTACCCCAGCTCTGTGGTGCGTCCTAAACTGCAGGCATCTCCCTGACTGCAAGGACCTCAATTCCCAGTGTTGTGCAGTCGAAGGGTGTGAAGAGGCCGCTGTGGGCCTGCCTGCTCACGCTCTGCAGAGCTCTCCTCGGGTTGTGGATGGGGCAGGAACCATAGGCAGACTGGGTGGAAAGGAGACACTGAGGTGTGACTGAAAAACTGGCTAACTCCAGGATTCCTAGGGAGGGGAGAGGATGCTAAAGGAGATACTGCCAGACCTGCGCAGCTGGGGGTAGCAGCATGTGACCACCAAATTCCCAAAAGTAAAACAGTACAGACAGGGAAGGACAGATTCTAAACAAACTGCCACTTACCACTGATTAATGAAACTCTTTATTTTAAAAGGTTTTATTTATTTTAGAGAGGAGGGAAGGGAAGGAGAAAGAGAGGAAGAGAAACATGGATGTGAGAGAGGAACAGCAATCAGTTGCCTCTCACACACACCCCTACCCAGACTAAAACCGCAAACCCAGGCTTGTGCCCTGACCGGGAATCAAACCAGCAACCTTTCACTTTACAGAATGACGCCCAATCATCTAAACCACACCACTGAGGGCTGCTGAAACTCTAAAAAATAATTTTTTTAAAAAGATCTGTTCCTTGGAAGTTACAAAATACATTTTTAAAAAGTACACCAAAATGACTCTCCCAAACAAGGTCCAGCTCTTCAGAGTCACTCCATCACCATATAACCCACAGAAGAAGGCAGATTCTCTGATGCCCAGGGCTCTGTTGCTAATTCTGTTGTCTCCAGCACTTAAATGCCTCCCTGGCTCCCGCAACAGGTTCCAACCAACCCTCAGGCAGCCACAGAAACTCTCTCTCTAACCAGCAGATCCACTTGAAATTAAAAGGTCAGTTTCCAAAAAGTCTTATTAATTACAATTGATGAACCTCACTTAATACAGTCACTCTGGCTTCCTCAATCCACTTATTTAAGCTGCGTACTCCAGGATTTAATCCCCTGCACCAGCACAACCCCTTTTGGGTTGGCCAACACTTCCTTCTGGAGTCTGAATAGGACGGAGGGTGCTTGCTGAAGCCTGTCTGGAATACTAGCAGGGGAGCAGGATGCAGTGCGGGCCATAGCACAGCCAGACCCACAGACACCAGCATGCTGGAAGAGAGCCTCTACTGATAAAATTCAAGGACAGGAAGAGCCCATCTGTGCAGTGAGAGGCCAGGCAAGTGGTCATGCCAGGGGGGTGGGGCTTCTGGCTGTGTGTCAGTCTGCTTCACAAAATGGGGGCTGGTTATAGGGGTATGTTCAGCTTATAAAAATTTGTCAAGTTGTATATATTTTTAAATATGCCATTTCCTGAATATATAATTCAATAAAAAGTAAACAAAAAGGCTGATCTTGTTTATTTTTTGTCCCAGCCCATTGCAGAAGCCAAGCCACCTGCCAGATCTGAATGCTGCCTGCTTTCCTCTGCGTTGCTTAGCCATGACCAAAGATGAACATTCTTTTTAAAAAAAAAATATTTTATTTATTTCTAGAGAGAGAGGAAGGGAGGTAGAAGGAGAGGGAAAGTAACTTCAATGTGTAGTTGCTGCTCTCGCACCCCCAACCAGGGACCCAGCCCACAACCCAGGCATGTGCCCTGACTGGGAGTCAAACTGGAGAGAGACCCTTTGGTTTGCAGGTTGGTGCTCAATCTACTGAGCCACACCAGCCAGGGCTGAACATTCTTTAGGAAGTTTCTAAACCTGGGCAGGAATAACCCTCCCCTGTTAGGTTTTTAAGCCCACCTGGAAGCACCCTTACCTAAAGCCCCTTGCGCTTTCCCAGCTGGACCCAGGAGACATTGTTCAGAGAGTCCTGGCCTCGCAGGGGCCTGCAAGGCCCTCAAGGCCCCATCCACTCCCTCCCGAACACGGGTACACCTGCTGTTGCCAGGTCAGCAGGCGATGTCCTCCGGATGTGGGTGCAGATAACTGTGCTACTCTGATGGACTAACAGACTCAGGGCTGGGAGCAGAAAGGCAGGAGTGCAGGCTCCCATCTCACACATAAGGAGGTTAAAACGCCTGCCAGGTCAGAGAGTGGGAAGCAGCAGTGCTGAGTAACTCCCACAGGAAAGCGCTGGAGGTCAGGGCAGGGTGTGCTGGGTCGGCAGCCCAGGGAGAGCCAGGGGCCACCGCCAGCATAGCCTTCGCCCTCAGCAGGGATCCCCACACAGCCACGGCTGTGCTTGCCCGGAGACAGGCCTCCCTGGGCCTGGCCTCAGGAAGTCCTCCTTCCCAGCTTGAACCCAGACAGACTGTACCTGGGGCTCCTGTGGGCTTGCCTGGTTCAGGCTGCGATGCCCCATCCTTTGTGAGAAAAAAAAAAACACTGTTCACTTTCCTGACATCAAATACTCAGGGTGCTGAGACAAGGAAGTGTACTGGGGACATCCAGAATAAGGGGGTTGTTGGGGCGTGGGTAGGGAGGGCAGGGGGTGAGAAGATTTGCGTCTGGGTGTGTGGGTGTGTGAGAGAGAGACACACACACACACACACACACACACACACAGAGAAAGGGAGAGAGGTCTGGTAGGTGGAATGAAGGCACAGGAACAAGCTGAGGGACCACACGAGGGGCTCCGTGGCCACCCGCACTGCTCGCTTCCTTACAGCTCTAGCAAACAACAGTCATTCATTCCTTAAGAGAAACAGAAACTTACTGAACACACCACCCCATGATGTCAGGTGCTCTAGTCCCTGAGACGGAATATCCTGCAGGTCTTGGGGAGCTCAGAGAGATGGGATGGGACATGCGACGTAGCTGGAGACCAAAAGCGGGTGGGGCAAAAGGGTGTGACGTGCGCGGCAGACCTGGGTGGGAGGCCTCTGAGGGCTGTCTGAACTGGGGGCAAGCCAGCTGCCCCAAGTGCTGGGGAACACTTCCAGGCAGTGGGCAGACTCCTGGGTTCAGGCCCTCTCTTCTCTCCAGCCTCAAGGGCCATACGACCTCCAAAGCCCGCACCCTAATCACACTGCCCCTGCCTTCTTAGCCCTGCCCCCGATTGGTCCTCCCCTCTCCTCTTGGCTCCTACAGGCCCTTATCTTTCCTGTACCACAGCACTAACACCCCACATTGGATGAGCTTCTTGACATGTGTGCCTTTGAACCTGTCACCAGGGTGCTCTAAAATCCAGATCTGACTGTGTACGCCCAGCTCAGAAACCTTCAATGTTCCCCACTGCCGACAGGCTGAAGAACCAACTCCTCGGTGTACATGGCCCATAAGCCCTGACCATCTTTCTGGCCTTATCTCCTGGCCCCATTCTTTATTATACTCCCCTCTCCGTGTGATGGTTTTAAAACATCTCTTTAAGAGATACAGCTTAGTTCCCTTACTTTTTCTTTCTTTTAATTTTACTTACGTATTTTTTAGAGAGAGGGGAAAGGAGGGAGAAAGAGGAAGGGAAACTTCAAGGTATCGTTGCCTCTTGCACACCCCTACTGGGGACCTGGCCTGCAACCCGAGCATGTGCCCTGACTGGGAATTGAACCAGCGACCCTTTGGTTGGCAGGCTGGCACTCAATTCACTGAGCCACACTAGTCCGGGAAGACACCCTTATTTTTGAGGCTGGACCTGCTGACTCCTTCTAACAAACTGACGGTGACAGAAAAGATGGTGTATGACTTCTGAGACACAGTCCCACCAGGCACTGCAACTTCTTCCACATGCTCCTTCAGGTTACTTGCTCTAGGGAAAACCAACTGCCACATCACAAGGACACTCAAGAGGGCCATGTGACAAGAAACTCAGACGTCTTACCAACAGTTAGCAAGGATCCATGGGGGTTAGCCACCTTGGAAGTGGCTTCTCCGGCTTCATTTGAGCCTTCAGATGAGGCCCGGCCAGTCAACATCTTCAGTGCAACCTCACAAGCTCCTGAGCCAGGATCACCTAGCTAAGCTTCTTTTGAATTCCTGACCCATGGAAACTGTGAGGTAATGAACATGTATTGCTTTAAGCTGCTAAACTTGGGGATAATTTGTTACAGAACAATGACTGAAGAATATATCCCGAATGTGTTGACTACCCTCTTTAATGCATCTGGGCCTTTGTACGTGCTATTCTCCTTGCCTGAGATGCTTCTCACATGCTCACCACTTTCCTCACCATCCTTCACCGTCCAACAGAAATGTTATCTCCTTAGTGAATCCCTCGTCAATGCCACCTGCCTGCTACTCCCCTGCCTGCCCTGGAGCTGCCCCGCCATGTGACTCACTAGCCCTGCACACAGCTCTGAAATTACGACCCTCCTATTCTACCCTGTCCTTGATGGCTCAGGGTGCTGCCCACGCCGCACATGCCCTATGGGCAGCAGAGGGCCAGGCACCCATAAAATTTCAGGGAAGCCTCTGTCAACCAGCTGGAGAGCCACTGCTTAGGGCCTCAATCCAGTGGGATGAATGTAAAAAAGAAGTCTTTTGCAACAACTATCTACATGCAGAGGCCTCCACTCTTTCTTGCAAATGATCGGTGAGCATGAGGATTCACTGAGAAGAGGCCCCATCTTCCTCCAGTCAACACACTGGACAAGAGGAGCTGACCTACCTGAATCAAAGCAAGCACCTTGTCCTGTACAATGGTAGGAGGGTTGTTCTTGGGAGAGATGATTTTGACCAGAACACTGTCGATGAAATCTCTGTTGGCCACAAGGACATGGAAGCGGTGGCCACAGTTCTTCACACATGTCTCCAGCACCTGGTATGGGAGGGAAGGAAGGAGGTAACCACTGCCAGAGCCCGGGGAGACGCCAGGCACCGAGGAAGCCGCAGAGTCTCCACCACCCCTCTGCCCTTCCCCCGGTCGTCTTCCTGGCAGTCTCCTTTGGAGCTGAACCTAAGTGGCACAGGCCTCTCTCACCAATTCACACTTCTTGGTGAGGAGGCAGCCCTTGGTTGACTGCCCCTGCGCAGTAATTGGGCACTCCGTGGTTCATTTAGGTCACTGTCTTGCATGAGAAGGATGATGGTGTTTCGGTGGGATCCAGACAACTGAGTGGTCTCTGAAAATTAGGATTTTAACTCTTCTCTCTGGGCTTCTGAATGTGAGGCATTAGCCAATGGGACACATGCTCCGTTACAAAAGAAGGCTGCTGTGACAGCCGGAACTACCCAGGAAGTTATTGGCCCTTTTATGTGAGGAAGCAAACACTCACACGCATACCTCTCACAGATACACAACCCTGCCTCTGCTACTGAAAATAAAGACGACGGAGGGATTTCCATTCTTACTGAAAGGTTGGGGCCTCGGCTGCTGTGACAGCTTTGAAGTTCTTGTACACTTCAAACCCCACTCACTCCTCCCAGTAAAATGAGTGACACAGGCCTTAGCCCCACCCACTCAGAAAAGCACAAGCACGTGTGGGTTCTGGCCAGAAGGCCAGTATGTGCTTGACCCTCAGTGCCACCACTTTTTACCTGAATGGCCTAGAACAAGTCTGCCAGAGCCTCGTCATCCTCATCTGTAAATTGGGAATGTGAGCACCCCCTTCCAGGCCTGTGGTGAGGGTGACACAGAGCCCTGCACAGGGAGGGCAGGGTAATGACAGCCACAATGACATGATTCCCACTCAGGAGGCTGTGGGACACCTTCAAACCCTCCCCGGCCTTGACACAGCTTTCTGAACTGCTTAGCTCTCTGGAAAGTCAGCCCACACAATGCCACAGTTGACTAGTGGGGAATGTCTCCTTGGCAGGACATCACCAGCAACACGGGACATTTCTGACGGCCTTATTTGCACCACTGACCTGATCACTGGCCACCTTATACAGCATTGCACACAACTCAGTTCATACAATGAGTCACCACCTGGACAAAGATGGCCACAAAGAGAGGCATGACCTTACCATTAACTGCAGACTGCATGCCAGGCAATGCAAGGGATTCCTTCCCATTCTATATAATTTCATTTGCTTCTCACAACTTATTTTAAGTGGGTGCTATTACCCCATCTTCTTAGAGTTAGGAGGCGTAGAAAGGTGAAGAAGCTGGTCTGGGTCAAAGTTGCTGGTCAGTGCTAGACGCAGGGTGGGACTGCCACCAGCCTTCTCCAGAGACCTTATCTCCTCGCCCAAGAGGCAACAGACAGGGTGTGCTGAACTTCTCATTCCCTGTGAGGTGGGTGTCATCCCCCCATAGCAATGAGGAAGCTGAGATCTGGAGATGCTGGAAAGTTCCCTGAGGAGGCCAGGGCTGGAGGCCCCCCTGAGCCTGGGAGCTCCGCACTGGTCAGAGCTGTCCCTCCTCCACCGCTGCCCACCCCCAGGAGACGGAACACCACCTTCCGCTTGGTCTGCCAAGGACAGCTCTGCAGCTCAGCGTCCTTGGCCACTGAGGTCTGCTCTGCTCACACTGGACTCCAGGTGACTTAGAGCTAACAGCACTCTCTCTCATAGTGACCTGTGGAAGTGCCGAGATGAACACAGGTGGTCTTCCTGCCCTCAGGAAGTTACCACTGCCCTTCTTTTGAGGATCCTCTAAAACCTCCTCCTAACTTTAACTACACAGGCAGTGGGCTGCTGAGGCCAAGGCTGGTGGCAGGAAGAATGGCTTCTTTCATGAGGAGCCAGAAAAAGGATGAACAGGAGGCTGGGGAAGAGCAGGCGTGGTGGGAGGGGGCATGGAGAAGAGGAGCAGGGCGGCCGAGGCACACACAGGGCAGCCCTGGGCCAGGACGTACTCCATCCCAAGGGAGCATGGCCTTACGTTTCCCTGCATAGCAGCCTTTACAGCAAGACACTATGGGGCTCAGACACACAGGTTTGGAAATGTCCTGGACAGACGTGGTGGCCTGAGCTACAGAGCATCCCCAAAGCCAAGCAGAGCAGAAGATGCAGGAGGTCTGCCCTGGCTGCCAACGACCACCCAGCCCAAGGAGGCCCAGTGACCACTTCAAGTGGCCCAGCCAAAAAGGTCTTTGGAAAAATCTGTCCCTGTGGGTTGTAGGGCATGAAATACACAGTAGCAATTTTCCAAATGCAGCTAAAGCCCACAGAGTTAGCAGAAGATACATCTAAACAATGAGAAACAGGAGTCTTCCGTCCGTACACTAGGTCCAAGCAGAAAACTGAGAGCGACTAATAGGATAAGTGAAGACAAAGACAAAGAAGCCATAAAAGCCGACATGGACCATGCACACACACCAGACCAGGCCTCTGAAATGCGCAGACAAGGGATCTGAATATTCATGAGTCTCCAAAGGCATCACTGGATTTTCAAAGACCTGATTGCTAAAAAATTAAAATGTTAAAATTTAAAAATACTCAGGAATAAATTTAATGAAGAAGGTAAAAGATCTGTACCCTTAAAATTATAAAACATTGATGAGAAATTGAAGACACACATAAATAGAAAGATATCCTGTGTTCATGGATTGGAAGAATATTATTAAAATGCCAATACTAGCCAAAGCCATCTATAGATTTCACAGAAACAGGAAAAGCAGTCTTAAAATTCATATAGAACTATACAAGGCCCAAAAGTAGTCAAAGCAATCCTGTATCACAATGCCTGATTTCAAACTATATTGCAAAGTTACAGTAATCAAAATAGTGTTGTACTAGCATAAGAAGAAACACAGACCAATGGGACAGAATCAGGAGCCCAGAAATAGGTCCATCCATATACAGTCAACCATATTTGACAAGGGAGTCAAGATGACTCACTGGGGGAAAGGACAATCTCTTTGATAACAGTGGTGGAAAAAACTGATGTCCATATGCGAAGGGATAAAACTAAATCCCTATCTTATACCAATCACAAAAATGAACTCAAAATGAACTAAGGACTTAAACGTAACACTACTCAAGAAACGGTAAAACTATTAAAAGAAAACAGGGAAAAAGCTCCTTGACATTGATCTTGGCAAAGATTTTTTGGATCTGACACCAAAGGCAAAGGCAACAAAATAAAAAATAGACAAGTGGGACTACATCTAACTAAAAAGTGTCTTCACAACAGAAGAAACAATTGGGAAAATAAAAGGCAACCCACAGAATGGGAGAACATATTTACAAACTATCAGATAAGGGGTTAATACAAAATGTATATAAGGAACTTACACAATGCAATACCAAGAAAACCCCTCAAAATTCTATTTTAAAATGTGCAAAGGACTTTTTGCCAAAGAAGACACATAAATGCCCAACAGGTCCATGAAAAGATACTCAACAACACTAATTATCAGGGAACTGCAAATCAAAACCACAAAGAAATACCTGTCAGAACAGCTGTCATCAAAAATAGGAGAAGTAACAAGTGCTGGTGAGGTTGTGGAGAAAAGGAACCCTTGTGCACTGCTGGTGAGAATACAACTGGTGCAGCCACCATGGACAACAGTATGAAGACTCCTCAAAAAACTAAAAACAGAACTACCATATAAATCAAGAGATTCTACTTCTGCGTATTTATCCGAAGAGAAGAAAACACTAGCTTAAAACAATATCTACACCCCCATGTTTACTGCAGTATCGTGCACGATACTGAAGACATGGAAACAACGTAAGTGCCCACTGACGAATGAATGCGTAAGAAAAATGTGGTGTGTACTATATACGATCAAATATGATGCAGCCACAAAAAGGAATAAAGCCCTGTCTTTTGCAACAGGGATGGAGTTGGAGGTCACTAGGCTAAGTGAATGAAGTCAGAGAAAGGCAAGTGCTCTCTTACGTACTCATACAAATCTACAAAAGCTGAACTTGTACAAGAGACTAGAATGCTGGCTGTCGTGGGCTGGGGGAAGAAGAGAGATGTAACATGAGTAAGTTCTGGGAACCTAATGCATGGTATGGTGACTATAATTAACAACACTACAGTATATATTTGAAAGTTGTTAGGAAAGTAGATCTTAAATACTATCACCATAGACACACACATACACAAATATAATGATGTGAGGGAACAGAGGATTAACTAACACTGTGGTAATCATTTTGAAATATATGTGCATCAAATCATCACATTGCACACCTTAAACTTATGTGTTATATGTCAATAATATTTCAATAAAACTGGGAAAAATAACACTACTAAATGAGACCCGACCATCAGGAAAGATTAACCAATGCCCACTGCTTTGCTGTAGGAAGGAAACAAAGGCAATGCCACTGTAGAAAGGTTTCTATCCAATATGGCCACCATGAAGTTGGGCACATAAAGGCTACATCTCAGATACCAGTAAAGTGTCCTGACATGTTCATTCCCTCATGATTTCAGTTACTGACAACAATTCATTTTGGGCACACTCTGGGTTTAATGAATGCCATGGCTCAAATTCTGAAAAAAAAAAAAAAAATCAAAGCTTTAACCCTTGCCTGTGTGACTCAGTGGGTTTCAGTGTCATCCCATAAACTGGAAGATCATGGGTTCAATCCCTGGTCAGGGGACATGCCTAGGTTGTGGGTTCAATTCCTGATTAGGGTACACATGGGAGGATGCAATCAATGTGTCTCGCATCAATGTTTTTCTCCCACTCGCTCTTCCTCCCTTCCCCCCTCTCTAAAATCAATAAGCATGTCCTCGGATGAGGACTTTAAAAAAAGGCTTCAACTTCCTATTTCTCAACAGTCTTTTTCTCCTTTATTATTCATATCCCAATCCCCTGGCAGAGAATGCTCCTAATGTCGAGTTTTCACTTGGGCAAAAAAATGTAAACAGTTTCTTTGTGTTTAAAAGGAAACATTATAACAGTTTGGAATAAGTAACACACTATTCAAACCTACAGAGAAGCCCAGTGCTGACCTGTCAACAGTTTCCATGATAAGAATCAACTGTAGATTATCTCCAGTCAGGATGGCAGCACATGAAAACACAGTACTTGGAACCAATCATAACCACATCAAAATTACAACTAAACTACAGAACAACCACCATGTAGAACCACCTGAAATCCAGATGAGCACAAGTTCTATAGCTAAGGATATAAAGAAGCCACATTGAGACTGGTAGAGATAGCAGAGATTCAGAATGGGCAGGTCCCACACCCATCTTCCAAGGTTCTCCTAAGGAGCCAGGGGTCCCAGCCCCACGCCAGGCCCCCAAACCCAGGCAGCAAAGTCCCCATACCTTCCCGCTGTAAAAACCAGCAGAGATGGTGGATGAGTGAGAAGGAGGGCTTCTGGAGTCCCAGGCAGTTCCTCTTAAAGGGCCAGAAAGGAGTCATTCAGACTCACTCCTTCTGAACGACAGTGCTGGGAATCAGGGATATACAGGGAGGAACTGAATTATCTGGCATCAGGGCAAAAGCTGGGTGTCAGCTTTCTTCCAGACAAAAGTGCTGGCAAAGGCCACTGCTCCTTTGCTGACCCCTCCCTGCTCAGAGGCACCATACCTGAATCTCCATCAACCTGGGTAATACCGTTTGCCCTGGTGATTCCCTGAGACCTTGTTCTACCCAACTTTCGGGGCTCACCCAAACCTTTCTAGTGTATTTCCCATACAAATGGCCTGTCTTGACTCATGCTGCCAACTTTCCTAAAATCTCTCAAACACGCAGCATCTGGCCTCTGTGTGCACAGTACTTCCTGCTAAGTGGCCCTAGAATCAGCAGTAGTAGAAGCTGGCCTTGGTTCACAGCTTGGCCCCTCTCAGGGACCCCTGAGCCATCTTCAGATAGCTTTATAGCTCACTCTAGGTGGCCCTGGGCAGGACACAGGTGGCAGCTGACCTTGGCCTGCACCTGCCAGGAGGCCCAGAGACAGCACACCTAGCAGACAGCTACAGACCCTGTGAAAGCACCACCCAACCACCTTTGCAAGTGACACTCTCAAGTGGATTTGGTAGGTACCTAAACCCCATTAAAGTAAGTTCTGGTCCATGGGGTCAGTCCCTGACAGCAGATCCTCCACTGTGGTTGCAGCCAGTCCTCACAGCCAATCAGTTTGGGAAATCAATCGCTCCCATTGACATGCCGACAGCAGTCAAGGCTCAACTACAACAGGAGGGTACACAACGTCCTCATGGGGCGTACATCTGGAGTGCCCAGATCAGGTAAGGGCACCACTGGGCCCTATAGAACACCTTCTCCACAATGCCACTCTACCAAGTCTGGGATATGTAGCAGCTCTACCTAACACAGAAATAAATACAGGACACAGCCAAAGTGAGGAAACAAAGAAACATATCCCAAAGGAAAGAACAAGACAAAACTCCAGAAAAAGAGCTAAGTAAAATGGAGACAAGCAATCTCTTACATGCAGAGTTAAAAATACTGGTTATAAGGATGCTCCGTAAACTTAGTGAGAGAGCGGAGGAACTTAGAACTTCCACAAAGAGATAGGAAACATAAAAATGGAGATGGAAAACATAAAAAGAACCAGTCAGATGAAGAATACACTAACTGAAATGAAGAATACATTATTGAGAATCAACAATGCAATAGATGAAGCAGAGAATTAAATTAGCAGTTTGGAAGATAAAACAACAGAAAACACCCATCAGAACAGCAGAAAGAAAAAAAAAATGAGGATAGTTTAAGGGGCTTTTGGAAAAATAGCAAATGTATTGAAAAACCATTAAAAATAATAACAGAAAATTTCCCTCACTGGCTAAAGGAAATAGACACACAAGTCCAGGAAGCACAGAAAGTCCCAAACAAGATGAACTAAAGGAGACCCACATCGAGACATATCATAATTAAAATGGCATTAAAGATGAAGAGTCTTAAAAGCAGCAAGGGAAAAGCAGTTAGTTACCTATAAGGGAACACTCATAAGACCATCAGTTGATTTCCCAAAAGAATCTTTGAAGGCCAGAAGGAAATGGCACAAAATATTTAAGGGATGAAAAGCAAGGACCTACAGCCAAGATTACTGTATCCAGCAAAGCTATTGTTTAGAATCAAAGAACATCATAAAGAGCTTTCCATATATAAAAAAGCTAAAGGACTTCATCACCACCAAACCAGTATTACAAGAAATGTTAAGAGTCTTCTTTAAGAAGAAGAATAAAGGATAAAAAATATGAACAATAAAATGGCAATAAATACCTATCTATCAACAATTACTTTAAATACCCCAATCAAAATACATATGGTGGCTGAATGGTTAACAAAACAAGACCATCATATAAACTGTCTACGAGAGACTCACTTCAGATTGAAAGACCCACACAAAAAGAAAGTAAAGGGATAGAAATAGATATTTCATGAAAATGGAAACAAATACTAAAAAGCTGCAGTAGAAATACTTAGACAAGAAAAACAGACTTTAAAAGCAAGGTTATAACAACAGAAAAAGTAGTACCCAACAATTCAATTCCACTTCTAGGTATTTACCCAAAGAAACCCAAAACACTAAATTAAAAAAGACATATGCATTCATGTTTCCTGCAGCATTATTTACAATAGCTAACATATGGAAGCAACCTAAGTACCCATTAACAGATGAGTGGATAAAGAAGTAGTGCATATTTACAGTGAAATATGACTTGGTCATAAAAAAGAATGAAATCTTGCCATCATTAACAACATGGATGAACAGAGGGTATTGTGCTGAGTGAAGTAAGTCAGACAGAGAAAGACAAAATGCCAGATAATTTCAGTTATATGTAGAATCTAACAAACAAAATACACAAATAAGCACAAAAAAACCCAGACTCATAGAGACAGAATATTTTGAGAGTTGCCAGATAAGAGGGGGTGTGGGGAGGACGGGTGGGTGAAGAAGGTGAAGGGATTAAGAAGTACAAATGGGCTGTTACAGGATCGTCATAGGGATGTAAAGTACAGCATAGCAAATATAAGCAATATTATAATAACTATATATGATATCAGATGGGTATAGATTTATTGGGATCACTAACTCTGTTAAGTTACATAAATATTTAATCACAGGGCTGTACACGTGAAACTAAAATAATATTGTACAACTGTAATTTAAAAATTAAAAATGTATTAAATAAAAAAAATTCACTGTGGTCCACATTTTGCCACATCTGAAAAACTGTTAGCTTTTAAGACAGAATAACACTTGAAGTTGTCCCCTTGAATTTTCCGACATTTTAAGTAAGGGCAAAAATCTGCTCTGTTCCTCCCTGACAGGAGCCACGTGGCCGACTTCTCCATGACCCTCCCAGTGATGATCGGTCCTTACTCCAGAGTCCGAAGCAGGGCACCTCATTAGCAGGAAGTCTGGGCAAACCCCTGGGCATCTCCTGAGCCTCAGTTTTTCCATCCCTGTGAGGGGGATGAGGAACCCTGTTTTGGAAGGTTATTGTAAACATCTGCATTAACATCTGGAAAGCTCAGCAGCACGTAGGTTTTGGGATAGAAGCTAGAATTTTCTGGAGACAAGTGATACTTAGGGAAGCAGCAAGCCTAAATGTCTCACAACAGGCTGGTGGCTAGAGGCAGACCCAGGCCTCTCGGGCTTCTCTGATCCGGGCTTCTGGGTCAGTCGGTGTTGCCTATGCCTTATCTCCCACTGGCATACACCAGACTGAAGTTCACTCCCCATTTCAAAGGCGACAGGAAAACCCGTGAGCACTATGGAAGGCTCCACTGGCCCCTAGCAGCACATACACCAAGCTACCCAAAGGTGCACACTAGAGGGTGTGCTGAATGGACAGAGGGAAGGCCCTGAGAGTGGGGCAAGGGCAGGAGCAGGATGTGCCCAGATGCCACCCCACCCACCAGAGGACAGCACTCACTGTTAATGCCAACATCACTTCTTTGTAGTTCCGGTTCCCGTTGAGCCGCTTCTTCAGGGCTCGAATGGCATCCTTTGGCCTGGAGAAAAGGACATATTAAGATCCCTGAAAATTATGCTTCAGGTCCCTATCCTACAAATTCACTCCCATTTGTGTGAACTAGCATATATACAAAGTTACTCGCTGCAGGAGGTTTATAAATGCAAAAGAGTGGAAACAAACTAAATGTCCATCAACATGAAACAGGTTAAATTAAATTGTTTTTATCCACATAATGAAACACTATGCAGCTGCAAAAAAACAAAAAAAACCCAAAAATATCTTTGCCCTGGCCAGGTGTTTCCGTTGGTTGGAGTGTCATCCTGCACACCAAAGGGCTGCAAGCTTGATTCCTGGTCAGGGCACACATTAGTGGTGAGCTCTGTCCTTGCTTGGGGTGTGTACGGGGTGCAACCCACTGATCTTTCTCGCTCCCTGCCTTTCTCTCTAAAATCAATAACCATGTCCTCGGGTAAGGATTATAAATATAAGCTATTTTAAAAAGAGAATCAATACTCCTTATGTACCAACATGGAGCAAACTTTGGGAAGGAGTCATCTGCAGAGCAGCGCGCACGCTACTGTTTGAGTTACACAGGACGGCACACAGACACGGCACCACACAGACACAGCACGCATGCCTGCACAGGAAGAGACTCTCTAGAGAGAGCCATAAGAAGCCGGGAACTTTGGCTGCCCCTTAGGAGGGGAGCTGGGTGACAGAGGTGACAGGCAAGTTTTTCACTGGATTGTATATTTGTAGCCCTTTTGAAGTTTGCGTCATGTGTAAGTGTTACTCATCCAAACCATAGACAAGGCACCGGTGCGTGGGCTCACTGAAGAAGCCGCAGAGACAGCGGCCAGGTGCCTGCTCAGGCCTGATGCTCAGACCCTCCCAGTTCTTTGGGACTCCTTCTTCCCCAAGAAAACTTCAGTCTCCTCAAAACCCTAGGAATTGTGTGCTTTTTTAGGTGATGGATCTTATGTGGATTGCTAAAGACAACCTCGCAGAATTATAGGCAGTCTCCAGTTTACAAGTGGGCCATGTTTAAAAGTTCACTCATAAACTGATTATGTGGAACTTGGAACACAGCCTTCCTTAAATCACTGTTAGAGCTGGGAGTTTGTCCCCAGCCAGCCATCTAAGAGCACCTATTGGTTACAGTTCTTATGTTTAACATGTTATTTAATTTACTCTCAGCCAAGATAAAACAAAGGTGTGGGACTAAGAGCTCCCTTTGGCACGAAGCCCTGCCCATGAACGCCCTATCACCTGAGCTCTGGGGAGCCCCAGCCCAGCTGCAGGGACTGCCTTTTGCTATAACAAGTGGGCCCCACACTTCTGCAGGCTGACATGTCGATACATCTGGGTCTTTCCAAAGTTGAAGGTTGGTAAGTCAGTAACCTCCTATTCCTAAAGGTCTAAAATATTTATCATCTAGTTACCAAACAGAAAAGTCCTTTCAAATGTGTATGAGGAAGTTGGGGTGGGGGTGGAAGTGCTGCTAATCAGCCCAATTTAGACAGAAACACACTGTAGCAAGGCAAGGCTTCTGTTACCATAGGTAGTTAACTAGTTATTAATAAGAAAGAGAGCAAAGAGAATTAAACATTGAGCTTAAGAAAATGGGCACCTATTTCCCATTCCCAACTTGAAAAATGACTGCCTGCAGGAATTCTTGGCTTTTGAGTCCAAGGGCTAATGGGACAAAGCTCCCTGGGGAAGGGGTCCTTGCCAAGTGTGTTTGCAGTATGGCTGCAGTTTCCAAATAGGAATGCTAATTTCTGCAAATATGGGACTTGACAAGCTCTTGGCTTGGAGGACTGGTTGTGAACTTGAGCTGGTGAAGGTCAGCAGCTACTGGCGAGGAGCACTGATTGATTTCATCTCTCAAAGGCTCTGCACCAAGCCATAGCTAGCCCTGACCCATGGCTGCCATCCCTCTCAATCTAGTCTCATTCCTCTCCTCTTGAGCTTCCATGGAGCAGAAAAATGGGTACAAACTCCAGGGATGCAATCACACTGAGCTCACAGAGTATAGCGCTGCCAGAGCTCTTCTGGTGTGGAGGCAATGGTGGCGGAGGGAAATTGGAGTCAGCAGTCTCTCCCCTTGGAGTTAAAATGAAAATTCATCCTCAGGAAGTACTGACTGGGAATGACTGAGTAAGCACAAAAAACAAGTATTTACCTCTCTCCCTGGGGAAGAAGCCTCAGGGAGGAGGATCAAAGGCACGTCAGAGGAACTGCAAAGTTTCAAGCACCAGCAGCAGATCAGACAGATTAGAAACAGGCAGAAAACAGAGAAGGAAGAATCGAGAGCCAAGATGGAGCCGGAAGAACCATGAGGCAATGATGTGTGTGAGATGCCCCAACACCCACAAGAGCTTTGGAGAGAAAGGTTACGCCCCTCAGGGCTCTGCACTGCGGGGCATAATCCGAGTCTCAGAGGACTTGGATTTGGCCTCAGGACTGCCTTCAGCCTTCCCAAAGTGACCTCCGACCGCAGCCTCATAAGAGACCTTCTTTCCAGTCATACTGAACTTATCTTGTCCTTCAGCTCCAGAAATGCCATTCCAGAAATGTTTCCTCCTTATTCCCTGATGGAGGACAATGGCTGCCCCCACCCCCTCATCCTGAACACCTCCTCTCCCTCCTGCCCCCCCCCCCCCCCCACTCAACTACTCTCTAGCTCTATGGCGTTTTTCCAGAGGTTACTCCTCTTTGCCCCCTACTGCCTAGAGGCTGGGAAACAGACAGAGCTTCAGAGAGCTGGGAAGATCCAGCCACATCATGAACATGACCCAGGTCAACGGGTCCTCATCAGAGCCACACATCAGAAACAAAGAGTTCTTACCAAATCCATGTGCCTATGCCCTAATTAGGTAGAATAGGGTGAGAAGCCCGGTAAACAGGGTCTAAAACCTTCCTGGGTAGACAACTTGGCCAGGTACTCCTGATTAATGACAGAAGATCCAGGACATGTGGGGCTGCCACACACAGCCCCAGCCCTGGAAATCAGAAAAAGTGCAGGGAGGAGCTGTGGGGGGCCCATCAGGACCCCAGCCTCCCAGAGGCAGAGCTCTGAATAAATAAAAGCACTGCAGGCATAGTGTTATTGGCTTGCACCTGAACTTCAGAGCTGTGGGGTGAGACTTTTGGCAAGTGACCAGCCTACTCTGGGCCTGACCCCTCAACATTAATGTGGACTGTCCCTACTGCATGGGGCTGCCAGGAGGGAGTAGGGTGCTGCATGAGCTGGTTCGATCCAGAGCTTGGCACCACACATGTCCCCTATTTGTTAATGAGGAAACCAAGACACAGAGAGATTAGGCAACTCACTCAGGGCCACATGACAAGTTAGTAGAGGTCCTACGACCACAGCCTAGGCTGGTGCCTCAAGGCTCCGTGCCCCTAACCTCATTACACTCCCCTTTCTATGTGTATCATCCCCCTCCACCTCTTCACTTGGCTGACCCCAGATTCTACTTGGACGTCCCCTCCTCCAAGAATCCTTTCCTTGTGACGGCCCCAGGCTGGCTTACTGCCTTTGTGACAGTCCCTCCGGTTGGCTCTCTTAGCTTCTTTCTCAGAGGACTTGTCACAGTGTGTTATGATTATATTCACATGCCTCCATTCCTCATAGGGACTTAATTTATTTATTCACTTAGCTAAGAAATATTTGTCAAAAGCCAGTTATGTGCACACTGTGCTGGGTGCTGGGGGGTGAAACAGTGGCAAAACAGAATTTCTGCCCACAGGGAGAGCACAGTCCAGGGGGAGCTGGAGATGAGACAGAGAGTCTAACAAATGTCATGCAAACACGTAAGTTTAAACTGTGATGAGAGTGAGTGTCAAACAGGGTATTACGAAACCACACAACAGGGGGGCTTGTCCAAGTCAGGAGGGACAGCATCAGGGAAATGAGATGCAGTAAATGAAAGACTAGTCAGTGATGGGGGGTGGGTGGGGGCAGAGGACACACTAGGCCTGCAGCCCTGAAGCAGGATGAAGTGGGCAGGGGACATGTGGGGAGAGGCTTGTAGTCACCTCACAGCAGAGGTGAGGGCAAGAAGTCCCGGGAGGCACAAGGGCACCCTCTGAAAAGTGCACGAACAGAAGAGTGGGTCACTTCAGCAGGCACGAGCTCCTCTGAGGACTGTGAGAGCAGCAGACCCCACTGCAGACCTTGGAAAGAGGCCTCAGTCCTTCTGGAGTGAGTGGGTCCCATGCCAGCACATTTGTGTCTACGTCCCTCCTGTTTGTGGAGAACTGCGAACAGGGTACAGGGCTTGGGAAAGCTCGAGGGATCTGTGGGGCTGAGAGGGAGGGTGAGGGGAGAGGACCCCAAATGGAGTGGCAGAGGGGCCCGATTATCCCACAGGGTGTGTGGAGGATTTTTACCCCAAGAGAACACTTGTTGGCAAGGGAGTGACTCTGTGAGTCCTGCGTCTCTGAGTCCCTGCCTGCAGCACAGAGGGCAGATGGAGAGAAAGAGGCAAAGGTCAGTTGGTTGCCCAAGGGTGCAGCCCATCTCTGGGGGGCGGCACAGGAAGAAGGCTCTTCACAACCTGACCTGAACCACCTCTGTTCCAGACAACCCCCTCCCCATTTCCTTGCTGTACCCCACAACCACCCACACCCCACCCTGCTGCCCCTTCCATGTCCCCCATAGCTACAGGGCATGCTTCTCCTTTCCCTGCTGTCCTGGGGGCACAGGCCCAGGCCGGCCTCCAGGAGGCTGCATCTTTGAGTCTGCCACACGCTCTTTTGCGCAGCCCGGCTAGCTCTGCATGGGGAACACCTCGAGAACAGCCACACACCCACCTTGATATCTGGGCCTCCCCCTGTGGGGTCCACAAATGCGGCATAGCAACTATATAAAGAAGTAAATGAGTGGCATCTAAGGCGGACGTGAAGAGGAAAGGAGCCCAGTGATGACGGCCTTAGAAAGGTGGAGTCCCCAACAACTGTGTGATTCCAATCTGTGTACCGGGCACCGAGATGAGCGCGTGCCCTCAGACTGCAGAAATGAGCCATCTTTCACGAAGCACTCCCAGATGCCCATCTCCGGCATGGGCTCTACTCCCAATTCCAGCCTTCTCTGTGCCAGCCCCCTTCAGCATCTGCAGTGGTGGGCGCTGGGGCTTCACTGGCAAGTCAGTCTGCACTGCTGACCTCTGCCCCCGCAGTCCGCTCCATCCCTGTATCCTTGACTCCTCCCTCACTCCCACGTCAGCACATTCATTGGTTCCCCCTTCTAAATATATTCAGTACCTGATCATCTCTCACTGCCTCCTCTGCCATCATCCAAGTCAAAGTTGCCACCTCGCACAACAGGATGAGGTAAGAGCCTCCTAATGGATTCTTTGTTTCCGCCCTTGGTCCATTCCCAGCCAGGCCACTCTGCACATGGTAGCCAGTGATCTCTTTGAAATGAAAGTTACACCATGCCTTAGCTCTGCTCAGATCATCCAAGGGATCCCTGCTTCTCCCCCTCCACCCCCCACCCCCGCCAAGGTCAAGTCCAAGGTCCTGGTGCCTTTGTTGTCTGGGTCCAGACATCTCTGACTTCCCCTCCTGGTACCCTCCTCCTCACCCACTCCATTCCAGCCCCACTGGCCTCCTTGCTATTTTTTTTTAAAGATTCTATTTATTTATTTTTAGAGAGAGGGGAAAGAAGGGAGGAAGAGAGAGAGAGAAACATCAAAGTGGGGCTGCCTCCTGCACATGCCCCACCGGGGCCCCAGCCCACAACCCAGGCATGCGCCACAATTGGGAATCGAACTGTCAACCCTCCAGTTTGCAGGTCAGCACCCAATCCACTGAGCCACACCAGTCAGGGCCTCTGCTATTTTAAAACACACCAGACGCCCTCAGTCCCAGGACTTCCGTGCTTGCTGTTCCCTCTGTTGCAAAGTTCTTCCCTGGTACAATCCTCACTCCTCAGCCCCTCATTTCCTACACATCTCTGTTCAGTGCACCTTCTGTGAGGCTTTCCTTGACGATTCCATTTAAAATTGTTAATTCTCGGCCCTCTCCTGCCCTGTGCCCTACTGCGACCTCAGGACAGACACCAGCGCCCAGCACATGTGCTGAATGAAAGCAGGAGCAACCTTAGGAGGCTAGTCCCCATTTTATATCTGATCAGGCTGTGACAGTGTCATAGTGCAAGCTCAGGGATGCCTGAGTCCTGCTCCTCTCCTACCACTCCCGAAATGGTTTAAGATGACATGGTGATGGTAGGTTCCATTTTTATGGTGTGGACAGAGGGCAAGTACAGGCTACTTGGGAAGAAGTGGGATGAGAACGCAGCTGCGATGTAGACAGGGCCCTAATGTGCCCAATGACAGAAGACACAGCAGCACAGGGTGGCTTTCGGGTGAAAGCCCACCCACTACAGAACCCCTGGCTGCTCTGGCCACAGGCGCACTTTCTTACAGCTTGCCTCCCTCTGTGGACACGGCAGCCTCCCTCTGTGGACACGGCAGCCTCTCTCTCTGATTGCCAGGCCCCAGTCCAGCAAAGCAAGAGGACACAGTCTTAAGTCTACGAAGGGAGGGCAGAGGTCAGGAAGGAGAGGAGGGCAGAGGGGCTGATCTGGCCAAAGAGACCAACGACCACTGGGAACCAAGTAACCAAGCAACTTCATTTTCACTTGTGATTAAAAGCAGGTTATTAAAAGAGGGTGTCCATGCTCTAACTCTTCAATGCCACTGGGGAAGTGGGAGGAGTAGATAGGAAGAGGAAAGAGAATTAAGAGTGTCAGGTACTAAATGTCATCAGGTATTAAATGCCAAGACAAGCTAAAAACAAAACAAGAAGTATAATACCCAACACCCTTAAACCCGGACAGGCTTTGAGTTTCACCAGGAGCTGACAGCTTCCTAGGGGGGTGGCAGGGACACACGTACCCTTCATCTGTCTCATTGATGATGTCGCAGATCTCCATGTTCAGCGTCCAGTCCTCGCTCTGCAAGGAGCCATCTGTGGCCTTTTCTGTAAAGCCAGAGAGAAAACTGGTTGACATTTCTCTTGAACAAGGGGCCCTGGCAGGAAACAGGAAGGGACCAGAACAACCACATTCTCCCAAACCAATGGGCTGAGCCAACAGAGCAGTTCTGGGGGTTCTGCTTTCACAAGAGAACACCCAGCATGAGATCTGGGCCTGGAGGCCAATGTCATAACACTGTCCTTCATCTACCAAATTCCAGACTGAAAAGCTCATGACAGGCCTATGCTATTAAAAATCACCCAAAGCTCTCTGTGCCTCCCATACAACAGATGGCTGCGTCTTCCTGCGCAGCCAGGTAAAAGGAGTTGCACCGAGACAGGATAGTGAAGGTCAGATTGAACCGATTTGACTGTACTGGGCGCCTGGTCACCAGGGCTGCCTTTTACTCTGTCAAAGTAGATACTGTCGCCATCAATCACCCTTTCATTGACCTCAACTACATGTTCTATACGTTCTGGCATGAGTCTACTCATGGCAAATTCAAAGGCATAGTCAAGGCTGAGAATGGGAAACTTGTCATCAATGGACAGCCTACCTCCATCTTCCAGCAGCAAGACTGTGCCAGCATCAAATGGGTGATGCCAGTGTGGAGTGTGCTGTGGAGCTCAGGGCTATCTTTACCACGCACTCCTGCACCTTCCATGCCAGGGCTGGCATGGCCCACAGTGATCACTTTGTCAAGCTCATTTCCTGGTGTGACAATGAATTTGGCTACAGAATGGGGTGGTAGACCTTATGGTCTACATGGCCTCCAAGGGGTAAGAGCCCCCTGGACCACCAGCCCCAGAAAGAGGAAGAGAGGCCCTTAGCTGCTGGGGAATTCTTGCCCCAAATTGCCCCCAATACAATGACAATCCCCTGATCGCCAGATTCCATCCCCGAAGAAGGGGAGGGGCTTTGGGAGCCCTGCCTTGTCAAGCACCATCAATGATGTTCACTGCACCCCACCAAAAGAAAAAAAAATCCAAACAGGGAGAATGTTAAGTTTACTAGCCCACAGATTCTGGAGCCAAACTACCTGGATGTGAATACAAGCTCCACCACTTACTAGCTACGTGACTTGGGCAAACGACTTGACTTCTATGTGCCGAATTTCCTCATTTGTAAACTATCCCATACAGTTGTTGTGATGATTCAAAATAAAGCTCACCCTGGCCAGGCCACCTGCTCAGTGGGTTGGAGCATCGTCCTGTACACCAAAAGGCTGCAGGTTTGATTCCAGTCAGGGGATGTATGGGAGGCAGCCAATCAATGTTTCTCTCTCACATCGATGTCTGTCCGCCCCCTTTGCCCCCAACTCAATAAACGTATCCTCGGGTAAGGCTTAATATGTGGGTGTGTAAAGCCCTTGAAATAGAGCTGAAGACAGAGCTGGGACCATTAGGCAGTTGCTATTATAATTTTAAAAATCAACTTTAGTAGTTAAAAACTATGTCTTGAATAAGGAGGAGATAGAGGGGCCATCATTTTTTTAAGATACTGCTAGGCACGGTGTTAGGTGCTTCATGTACAGTATTTTATTTTAGCCACAGAATGACTTCCTGGCCATTCAGTGGAAAAGGACAGTTTTCTCAACAAAGGGCACTGGGAAAACTGGATGTCTACACACCACAGGGTGAAAATGGGCCTTCTTCCTATATCACAGGTAAGCATTAACTCGACATGGATAAAAGATGTAAACCTACAAGGGACAACTCTCAGAAGAAAACATTTTTTAAAAACGCTTTGTAACATGGGATTTAATAATAATTTCATGGATATGACACCAAAAACACAAGCAACAGAAAAAAATAGATAAATTGGGCTACAAAAAAATAAAACCTTTTTGTGCATCAAAGGACACAGAGAATAGAGCATTCAAGAGAGTAAAGAGGCCAACTTATGGCAAGTGAGAAAATATTTGCAAATCACATATAAGTAATTAATATTTAAAGAACTTTCACAACTCAACAATAAAAACCTCAATTAAAAAATGGGGAAAGGAGCCCTGGCTGGTGTAGCTCAGTGGACTGCGCACAGGCCTGAGAAGCAAAGGGTCAGAGGCTCGATTCCCAGTCAGGGCACAGGCCTGGGTTGCAGGCCATGCTCCCAGCAGGGGATGCATGAGAGGTAAACACACATTGATTATTTTTCTTCCTCTCTTTCTCCCTCCCTTCCCTTCTCTCTAAAAAACAAATAAATGAAAATGGGGAAAGGATCAGAACAGACATTTCTTCAAATTTAAATAGTCAACAAGTACATTAAAAAATGCTCAATAATGTCAAGGATTAGGAATATGTAAATCAAAACCACAGCGAGATACCACCTCATGCCCATTAGGACGGTTGCTATAAAAAACCCAGAATATAACAAGTGCTGACAAGGCTGTGGAGAAATCAGAACCTTGGCGCACTGTCGGTGGAGACATAAAATGAAGCAGCTGCTGTGGAAGGTAGTCTGGCAGCTCTTCAACAAATTACAAAAGGAATTACCATTTGATCCAGCAGCTTCACTTCTGGGTTTGCACCCAGAGGAACTGAAGACAGGGTCTCAAAAGAGAGATCTGTGTACCCAGACTCATAGCAGCATCACTCACAACAGTCTGAGGGTGGAAGCTACCCTGGTGGCCACTAGTGAACATTGTTTGTATGTACCATGTACAAAACGTGGTACATACACACAATGGAATATTGTTCAGCCTTAATAAGGAAATTCTGACACATGCTACATGGATGAACCCTGAGGACATTGTGCTAAGTGAAATTAACCAAACAGAAAAAAAGACAAATACTGTAAAGAAGGAAACGAGGTTCAAGAAGGGTGGGTCCTTGGCCAGTATTGCAGAACCGAATTGAACACTGAATCCCAGTAAATGAACAGAAGTGCTGACCCTCAGGGTGAGCTGTGGTACCGATAACTCAGCCCAAGCCTGTCTGTCCCTGAAGCACAGGCACTTGCCTGATGCTACTAAGCCACATGCCGGAAAAGGCAGGGTTCAGATACAAAGTTGGTATCTTAGATGAAGTCTAAACCTGCCCCACTCTAACTGTATGACTCATGAGAGGAATACCATCACCACCATTTTAACAAAAGCTTTACAAACCCACACTGATGCTCAAAGAATGAAAGAGATGACCTCTGTACAAGCTGGGAGCATCGTGTTTTACTAGATGCAGCTCTGGAGAAGTGACGCTTGTTTTTTACATAACATACTAGGACTCATACATCCAAACAAAGGCCCAACTTACAGTGACAACACACTTCAAAAATACTGTTACTGCTCAAAATATTTGTGCAACAGCCTTCATTCTGGATTAAAAGGCCTCACTGTTTTAATTTTGACCAAGAAAGCTGTATCACCAACTTTTCACCCTCTTTATTCACTGCCCTTCACACCCGAGTACTCTTTACCCCCTGAAGAAGCAAACCTACCCATGAAGAGTGAGAACCTGCCCCAGACAAATGCCACAGAGCAGCAGATAGGGCAGGGTGCAGAGGATGCTCCAAGATCAGCGGGACCTGTAAGCAAAGTCCACAGACGGTGCTGGTCTGGCAGAGACAGGGGCAGTGTTTGCTACCTGCCCACAAGAGGAGGGAAGTGTGTGCAGGGACAGAAAGAGGGAGAGGACAAGGACTCCTTGGAGCCTGCTCAGAGCCAGGAGGCCCCAGGAGTCTCCTCTCCTTTCCTGCCTGTGGCATGCCTCTGGGAAAGAGGCCCCTTCCCAAACCTGCAAGCGCTGCCAGGGGACCTCCAGGGGAAATTAGAGCCATGGTGGGTGCAGCCAGGGTAGGAAGGGTTGGGGAGGGACAGACACCCAGGAAGAACGGCTGAAAGCACTATGTAGTCTAGCAAACAAAAGCCTGAGCGCAGGGGCTACAGGGGCAGCAGGAGGCAGCACACAGCAAGGCCACGGATGCCCTGACCAGCATGCTTCGCCCAGGGGCAAGAGAGGCCCCAGTCAGCAGTCTGGAGGCTGCAGCAAAGGCTCCTGAGCAGGGAGGAGGGTGCATGAAATGATCTGTGCCTGCAGCCCCTGCTCTTCTTGCCACACTGTCTCTGAACAGCCCTCTCCTTCCGAGCTCCCAGTCCCAGAAGGTGTGACTCACACCCACAACCACATGCAGCAGAGGACTGTCTGCAGCCATGGACCCGGCAGTCTCCTCAGAAGAAGGCCAATCCTAATAAAATAGCTCTGCCTGCTGGCCAGGGCTTGCTACCCTTCTCAGACAGCAAGGGTAGAGGACAGCTGGCCAAAGAGTCATCCTGCACTCATCATCTGTCCCTGTCATAGCAAGGGCAATAGCACATACTCTCACGGGAAAGAAAGTATCAAGGCTGCACTTTGGTAGGGCCACAAGGGACACTGTCTTAGGAGGTTAATAGAGGAAATATTAAATCAATGAAATCTCATTTCCAAGTTCAGTTTAGCAGCAGAATCCATTAACCTTATATTCACCCCCTCCCTTCCAGCTAAGAATACCGGGAAGAGGTTCAAAGGCATAATAACTCATCCTCACGGCCAGTGTATTCTATTCAATTACTAGGATTTGGCGTTTTCAAGCTACAAGATATAAACTTGTTTTGATTATGAAGAACCAACCCCAAAAGAATGCTTCTTTCTTCTCGTTTTGCTTGAGATGCCACACAGACCCAGCCAGGGGCACCTGGCTCTGTTCAAACAGCCGATGGGGAGCAGTGCTGACTCAGGACCTCACAGCAACTCTTACTCTTCTCTCCTCACACAAACACCCCCAGCCGCCATGGGAGCAAAGCTGTGTTTGATTGCCTCTGGAACTGCAGCCACTCAGTGTGGGCTCCCCCACTCCATCCTGCCCCAGGCCAGAGGAAGCGAAGTTCAATCTCATTTCTTTGGTCACGTGAATTGTCAAAACCTGAAATAAATCCTGCTGCAACAGCAGAAACACAATGCTCCAGGAAGCAAGGAGGCAAGGAGGCAAGTCATTCCTACCAGCCAGCCATCGGGTGGGATAAAGATCAAATGAC